TTGGCCAGGCGCGGTGGCTCACACCTGTAATCCCAACACTTTGGGAGGCCAAGACGGGCGGATCATAAGGTCAGGAGATCAAGACCACCCTGGCTAACCTGGTGAAACCCTGTCACTACTAAAAATACAAAAATTAGCCGGGTGCGGTGGTGGGCGCCTGTAGTACCAGCTACTTGGGAGGCTGAGGCAGGAGAATGGCGTGAACCCGGGAGGCGGAGCTTGCAGTGAGTGGAGATCACACCACTGCACTCCAGCCTGGGCGACAGAGTGAGACTCTGTCTCAAAAAAAAAAAAAAAAAAAGAAATAGAAAAACCCATCCTAAAATGTACATGGAATCTCAAGGGACCCTGAATAGCCAAAACAGTCCTTCTAAAGGAGACCAAAGCTAGAGGACTCGTGCTTCCTGATTTCAAAACTTACTATAAAGCTGTACTAATCAAAACAGTGTGGTACTGGCATAAAGACAGACATATAAACCAATGGAAATACAATAGAGGCCCCAGAAACATACCCTAACATATATGGTCAAATGATTTTTTTTTTTAAGAAATGGGGTCTTGCTGTATTGCCCAGGCTGGATTCAGGGTCCTGGGAGGATCAAATAATCTTCCTGCCTCAGCCTCATGCACCTCTCTTGTGGTCAAATGATTTTTGACAAGGATACTAAGACTACTTGGTACGAAAAGGACAGTCTTTTCAAATGATGATGCTAAGTTGCCTGTGTTGCAGGAAGACAGATCAGGCGCCCGGGGCATATTGGCAATTTGGGTGCTGGTTTCTGAGGGAAAATATTAATCCATAGTGCATTTTTCATCTAAGCTTCCTCCTGATGGCGTTCCAAAGCAAGTGTTCCTCTCCACCTACTTTTTTCTTTTTTTGGTTTTTGAGACAGGATCTTGCTCTATCTCCCAGGCTGGAGTGCATTGGCATGATCATGGCTCACTGCAGCCTTGACCTCCTGGGCTCAAGCAATCCTCCCACCTCAGCCTCCCATGTAGGTGGGACCACAGGCGAATGCCACCACACCCAGCTAATTTTTTTGGTTTTTATTTTTTAAAGAGATGGGATCTCACTGTGTTGCCCAGGCTGGTCTTGAACTCCTGGGCTCAGGTGATCTTCCTGCCTTGGCCTCCTAAAGTGCTGGGATTACAGGCATGAGCCATCGCACCTGGCCTTCTACCCGCTTTCAAGATCTATTTAGATGAGACATATGTCTGACTGAATGGGCTAGGGGAAGGCGCAGTTCACAGATTGCTGTGTAAGATTCAGAGATTTGCACGTTCGCTGGTATGTTCATGGTGCATTGGTTAGGGAGAAAATGAAGCTTCACTCTGATGCCATACTGTCGAAGTGTCATTCTTATTTTGTTGTTTTGTTTTTTTCTTTTTCTGTTTTTAAAGATGATTCTCCTTTCTACTCCCCCAGAAACATCCAGCTACCTCTTCTAAGAACTAGAAATTTGAGTGTTCTCATAGCCAGCCAGAAGTCAGTGACAGCCTTCAACTCTTGTTGTAAATAGAAACATAACCGTGTCCTGCATGTGCTTCAGAGGCCGCCTCTGCAGTGCCGTCCTCCACAGACAAGGCCCATGCGGGGCTTCTGAGTCAGCGGTCCGCTGCCGTGGACAAAACATGCAGGCTGGAGTCAGCTGGCAGAGACTCACAGATGCCTGGAAACCTGGCATCACCTCCTCTTCCTCCCCGCAACCCCCCTGCCCGGCTCCGCACTTCCTCTACCCCTTTCTTGCACACCTTGGCTTTTCAGTTTCTGGGATTTCTGGCACCTTCCTGCCAGGTTTCCTGGTCAGCAGGTTCCTGCGATTATGAACCGTACACAGGGTGGTGCAGGCCAGGCCAGGAGGAGCATGATCTGGCTTTGACCTTCAGGAATGAGGGAAATGGGGGCGGTAGCAGGAATAGCCCTGCTCCGCCGTGCTTCCCGGCTGCTGTCAGAGCCAGTGAGAATGCTGGGTAAGCCCCTTGCAGAGTGAGACAGGCCCAGCCCAGCAGAGCCACAGAGCAATGCTGTCACACTCTGGAGGAGTCTTTGCGCTGCAGTCATTCAGCCGCAAAGCAGGAAAAGTGAGGCAGCCCAAGGGAATTCGTCTTGTGTTGTCTTACCTTGAGTGCCGGTCGCATTGTTCCAGGAGCCAGCCTGCCTCTGTTCATCTGTTGTCCCCAGTGCCCTGCAGGTCGAAATGTCTTCGGCCAGAGACTTAATACTTGCCTGCTGGTTGGCTCTGCAGCTCTCTGGGAGCTCTGGCTGACATCTGTTAATTTAAGTGTTTTTCACTAGCAGAAGGATTGGGGACAGTTATTAGTGAAGGCGTTCCTCTGTAGTGGGGTTTGATTTGAAAGTTCCTTATGGTGGTTAGCAGCTCTTCGGAAGTGAATTATTTCAAACCGAGTGGGTTACAGCTAACCAAGGGGTTGTCAGCTCACACGGAAGAACTCTTCTTGGAAAATAAGTGCCCAAGACCCTCTTTCAAGGGAGGTGTAAGCCAAGGCAGGCGCTATGACAGGAAGGGTTTTGGAATTATGGGTTGCAGGATCTTTAATGTCTTGACTTCAGCAAGAATGTCGTGGTTCTGAGCGCTCTGAATCCTGGCAAGGAGTCGAAAGTGGCTACTGTTTAGGAACAAAGAAAAGTCATTTTCTTCTTTGACATGAGGTAGCGGTGGATGAGACCCAGTGTATGCAAAGCTTACCAAACACTGTGACTCTGGTGTTTAGGTTGACTGAAGGCAGGCAGAGCATACAGACAGGGTCCGGATTGTGCTGTGCCGTGCCGTGTGCTTCTCAAAGAGCAGGTAAAGCCTCCAAAGTCCCCACAAAGAGGTCAGGAGGCAAAGAGGGCCCCTGATGTAGAAAATGCTGCGGGACCTTTGTTTCTAGTCATGGGCTGTCAGCTGCCACCGTTTCTCCTGCCTTCGCATAAGCACATCTGCTCTTTCCTGCCCTACAAGCCATCTTTTGACTTTCTGACATTTCTAAGATAAGCCTTGACTTGTAAGAGAAACAATGGGCCCTTTTTAGGAACTGTAAAGTACTTATCTTTCTGCTACCTAGAATAAAACCTTTCTTTTTGGGGGAAACTGAGTGTTAATTCTAGTTAGCTCCATTTCTTGCTGGCCTCCTAGCCATGTGGCTATTGGGAGAAGCTATATGTGTTAACAGTGTATTGTTTTTTCTGGATTTGTTTTGTTTTGTTTTTGAGACAGGGTCTTATGCTGTCGCTGAGGCTGGAGTGCAGTGGCACAATCTCAGCTCACTGCGAACTCTGCCTCCCGATTTCAAGCAATTCTCATGCCTCAGCCTCCTGAGTAGCTGGGATTACAGGCGTGTGCCACCCTGCCTTGCTAATTTTTGTATTTTTTGGTAGGGATAGGATTTCATCATGTTGGCCAGGCTGGTCTTGAACTCCTGACCTCAAGTGATTCACCCACCTTGGCCTCCCAAAGTGCTGGGATTACAAGCATAAGCCACCGCACTGGGCCAACGGTGTAATTTTTAATATCTAGAGCCAAGAGCGGTTGTTGAGTACGTGACATATTTGAAGCGAAAAGCCGAGCCAGTGTGTTCTGTCTGCAGTGTATCCTCCACATTATGTGATGAGTGTTGTGTCTGTTGACATAGAAAACATAAGGCGGAGAGGGCAGTTCCTTGTATTTAGTTATGACTTTCTCTCATGAAACTTAAGATGCATCTCATTTGGTTTGGTTTAATCCCATGATACCATGGTGAGGTGCAGAGAGAAGTGGCATGTCATTTCTACTTCACACTGCTGCTCAGTGTCTTACCCAAAGTGACAGCTTCAGGGCCTCTCCTGTGTCATTCTGGAACATGGCGCCTGTCTTCCGAGAGTTGGTTTCAGCAGCACCTGCAGCTGAATAGTGGGTAGTTTCTTGCTTCTACATGCCTCCTGAACACAGTGCATCAACCACTCCCTTCCTCTGTCTGCGCCCAACCCCAAGGGTACATCTTTAGAGCAAAGTCCAGTCCAGTTGTGTTGGTCAGCCTCGTGGTAAATGGGTGATGTGCCTGTGCTGGACCGTTGTGATGTGAGCACCAGGAGCAAGTGCTGTGGGCATGTGGATTTCTCAGCAGTAGCCTTGGAGAACTTCAGAAGTGAAGAGTCTTAGGGGTGCTGTCTAACCTACTTGCCTTACACACAGGGAAACCAAGGGTTGGTGTGACAGTGCTAACCCCGGGTTGTGAGCGGGGTCATGCCGCTGGGGTCTGGCTGTGTGGGCTCAGCCCTGTGGTCACGCTTGCCTCGCCACCCTGACCCACTCTCCACTCTCTAGTTTTGTCCTTTGTACTTTTGCCTCCCAGTACGGTTCCAGTGGCGAGGATTCACCAGATGTGACGCCAAAACGATTCCGCAGACTCACAGGAGCCGGTGCGTGCAGGTGGAGAAGGTGGCTCGCTCTTTCACCGGCACCGAGGAGTGCTTCTATTTTTAATCCATTAGCCTGATGTCTCCGTTTAATCTGGGGCCTAAGCTGGAAACCTGGGAGTCACCCTTGCCTCTTTGATCCCTATGAGTCACTCAGGCCTGCCTGTGTCACTTTCCCATGTCCTGCACCTCTTCCCTGCCTGGCTAACATTTATGCTGAGAGACTCAGCTGTCACCTCTCAGAGGCTCACCTTCAGTGGGGACCCCGCTTCACCACCAATAGTGACTTAGATCCTCTTTCTCTGTTTCCCAGCTCCCCTTGTGTCTCCCTCTTCAGTGGCACTTGGTACGGTCCATCAAGACATTCTGTGTCTGTGTCTGCCTCATCTCCTAGACTATCAGATCCTTGAGAGCAAGAACCATCCTGCTCACCTTTCCAGCCCCAGTGTCTCGTAGTGCCTGGAGTATTGCAGGTGTGCAGTCCATACTTGTGAATGGATGACTGCGACACTTGAGAACTCTGCTTTGAAGAGGAGTATGTCTCCTGGAGAATGTTTGTAGACAGAGAAATACTAACCGTCTTTTTCTTTCTTTTTGTCAGATTAACGTGCCAGTGTCAGGTGGACCCACAGCCATCCCACCGCCCCCTCTGGGAGTGCTGAGAGTGAGGCAGCATGGAGGAGAGGAAGCATGAGACCATGAACCCAGCTCATGTCCTCTTTGACCGGTTTGTCCAGGCCACCACCTGCAAGGGAACCCTCAAGGCCTTCCAGGAGCTCTGTGACCACCTGGAACTGAAACCAAAGGACTACCGCTCCTTCTATCACAAGCTCAAGTCCAAGCTTAACTACTGGAAAGCCAAAGCCCTCTGGGCAAAGTTGGACAAACGGGGCAGTCACAAAGACTACAAAAAGGGAAAAGCATGCACCAACACCAAGGTAAGCTTTGATCCTGTTGGGCCCTGGGGTCACTGACATGAGGATTCATCCAGATGCCAAAGAGGAGGATTGAGTTAGAGGTAGGCTGAGTGAGCACCAGGCAAAGTCTAGCCACAACCTAGCACAGGAAATCAAGCTTTTGACCTGTTGAAACTTTGTGGATCTCTTACCTCTTTTTGTTTGACTTGCATGACCCAGACCCTATTTTAAGCGTATTTCATGTATTTACATATTGAACGTTCAAAGTTTCAAGTATTTAAGAACAACCAAAGTCAAGTGGCATGGGAACTTTTTATTTTGCCAAAGCTCTCTTTTGAACCTCACGTGGTTCGGAGGATGCAGGTCACTTAGCAGGGACGTAGCCAAGCCCTACTGGTATCCTGTCTGAACACGGCTTTGGGGTTCTTGGCATGTCCTCTTTCCAAAGTCATCGTTCCATACTCAGTAACTGGTAAGGTATGCTATTTGCCAGCTTGGGATTTGCCACAAGCTTCTAACCTCTTCCCATCCATGTTCCAAAGGTCTGTTTTGATTCATAAGCAGGGACTTTGTGAACCAAAGTATTTCTGTTGCTTTCTTCACCACGTGGAGAAATAGGTAGGCCCTATTTCTCGAAGCAGGTAGGCCCAGGCAAAGACATGAGTTATGCACTTGCCTTTGTTGGGGTAGCTGCAAGGAAGCGGCTATGGAGAGATACATTTCCTACTTCCCTCCTTTGAAGAACACCTAATGTGAGAAGTTTGGAACAAGCTAGCAGGGACACAAATTTGCAGATGACTTCATGGCTATGTTATGTTCTTTCACGAGCTTTAATTTGTGTAATAGGGGTTACCTAGAGCCCCACCCCCAGTGGATTTGCATTGGGGTAGATATTCATCAGCAAAATTCAAGAACTGTGAAGGTGTGACATTCATGAGTGAGTACTGGACTCAGAGAAAAACAAAGCCAAAAGCATTGCACGTTTTCCTTCTGCACACACAGAGCAAACTACTTAAGATATGTGTCCAGTCTCCTGCTGAGTACTTCTCTGGAGTGTGGATTTTCAAGATTGTATTCCTGGACTTTCAGTCTAGAAATGGGGATTTTGGAACTCTTTTCAGCACATAAAACTTTGTCTTGAAAATTGCTTCCTGGGAATCATGCGTGTGGTACATTCATTCCAGCAGGCTTGAGATTGTGTACATAGGACTCTGTATCTCTTTGGACAGAAATCTGCGTGACCTAGAAACCTTCCAAACGGTCCTCTCTTGTTGATGTAAGATTGCATTTGATTTTCATATCGTTTGTTGAGATGATGGCCACTTAAATATGCTGCAGATCAAGGGCCTTCCAGGCTGTCCAAGGTGAACAGGTGCCGGGCTTGTGTCTAGCACTGATGGTTCTGTCTTCTCCATTCATGGTGATCACTAGCTCTTCTCTTCAGCCATGGCAGGTGTTCTGCTGTGACCCACATAGGTGTGAAGGTTTCTTGGCAGTGGGGAGAATAGCCCTATTTCAGGGCTTTAGGGAGTGATGATCATACGATCATGAGACTTCTTTAGAATTGTTTGTTGGAAGTGCTGCCTGCCCTGAAAGCAGCTGTGTTTTTCAGTGTCTCATCATTGGGGCTGGCCCCTGTGGTCTCCGTACAGCCATCGACTTATCCTTACTGGGGGCCAAGGTGGTTGTTATTGAGAAACGAGATGCCTTCTCCCGCAACAACGTCTTGCATCTCTGGCCATTCACCATACATGATCTACGAGGTCTGGGTGCCAAGAAGTTCTATGGCAAGTTCTGTGCCGGAGCCATCGACCATATCAGTAAGTAAAACTAGCTTTCCTGTAAGGTTCCACCCTACCCCTCGCACACGTGTTCATTAGAAAGAGATAGGCGGATTAGCTGAGGAATTCATATGCCGCCAAATTTCTTCTAATCTCATTGCTGTCTTTCTTGTAGTAAGTGCACTCATCTTGAAGTAAAAACACCTGCTATGCAGTGGTTCTGTAATTTAGGACTCTTAAATGTGAGCATATCGGTAACCTATGAAATTGTGGGGTTTGACCTGAGGATTTCTAAGTTAGGTCTTGGACTCTTACTGAGCTCTTGCAGTTTGCGGGATGGGCACTGGGGCCAGGCACTGGGGAAACGATGACCAGTTTGGGCCCAGACCCTCTGGTGGTCCTTCTTGCAGTGGCAGAAGTACACAGGCGTGCAGCTGTCTGTGCTGTGACCTGATACGTGCTCTACTAATATAAGCACAGAGTGCTGTGGGGACAGAGTCCTGGGGGAAGCCACGCTTGCAGAAGGAGCAGAGCCCTGGCCGGGCTGCTAATGGCAAGGGGATAATGGCATCCCTCTGGTTAGGTGGTTCTTGTGTGGTCTGCAAGCCCTTGCTGTACTTTTCTCACCTCCAAGCTCAGCCCGGGGCTGTGCTTTTCTGAGATCCTACAGGGTATGAATACAAGTTAATGCAATCAGCGGTGTTTGACTGTAAGTGGCCAGAAAAGCAATTCAGAACAGACAGTGTGCGTTATGAAACTGAAGGCTTTTTATTGATTATCATTAATGCTTTCAGGAAAGCTTTATCAAGGAGCCTTTGTTCTGAGCTTCTCCAGATGTGTCCTGTAAACACATTCAGTCATGGAACCTTTTGCTGTTTGCAGCAGCTGTGCCAATTTATCAGACGCTGGCTGGCAGTCACCACATTCCACTGGCAGAGGAAGCGCTGTGCCCATCTGTTGGCTGTAGTTTATAAAGCATCTTGGAACCCACAGTTCTCTGCGAAAATACTATGCTAGTGCAGAGTTTAACAAGTCTTTGGGAGTGGGACTCAGAAGGGTGGTGGCTGTGGTAAACTGGGGAGAACAACCAAGATGACGTGAGGAGGGTTTGCATTGCTCCTGGCACATTAGACCCAGTTAAGTTTGGTCTTAAGAGAGGACCAAGGGTCATTAACTCAGTGGATTTGTCTGCCTTATTTGTGGCAAGATTCATCTTAGGGTTGAGAGGGTCTTCTACCAGGGCCTAGATCTTTATCTCTACACCTTAAGTCCCTGCCATGTCTGGTGCCTACAGGTGCTCATGGACGTTGAATAAATCAATCAGTCTCACTATGAAAATAAGCAAGATTGTCAGTCATTCTGGCCTCAGTTTCCATAGCTGTAGACCAGGAGTGGCAGGGGGAATGGGAGGAGGATCTGGTTGGATTATGATTTCCCTTCTTGCCTTGTAAGAATGTGTGATGATCAACCAGGGAATGGGCTGAAAGAGACGCCCGTGGGCGGGGAGGTCATGCAGCAGCTCTGCATCTGACTGTGGGCTGTACCCTGTGGGTGCATCTGCCTCCTGACCTAGCAGGATCAGAGATGCCACCAATATGGCAGCCCCGAATTGGAAAGATGGAAAGGGATCTCCTGTAGGCCACAATCCCGTGTTGTCTCCAAGCTTTTGGTTGTTTAGAACACTGAACCCAAGAGGTAGGAGTGTCCTGTGTGTTGCTCTAGAACATCTTTTCCACTGGGTTATATTTGCCTTAAAGAAAGGAAGAAGTTACGGAGTGTGGCTTCGGAATGTCTCCTGCTGCAGCAGGCTTTGGGAATCTGAATGAAGGGAGCGTGGGTGGTGGGGTGGGAGCCTGAGCCGTGACACGGATGGATACCCCCTTCTCCATGTGTTCCCACCAACACCATCTCTGTTTTCTCCCAGGTATCCGTCAGCTCCAACTAATACTTTTGAAAGTAGCCTTGATCCTAGGCATTGAAATCCATGTCAATGTGGAATTCCAAGGACTTATACAACCTCCTGAGGACCAAGAGAATGAACGTAAGTTATACTGGAGGAGTGAAGAAGGCGTGAGAGGGTGTTGATGGATGAGGAAGATGAGATTGAGGGAGCAAACCAAAGGCCCCTGAGGGCTGCTTCCAGAGCTAGCCAAAGCCTGTGCCTGTGGGGACGTGGTCTGGATGCAGCCTTCGATGTCGCAGGTGCACATGTGGTGGGCCCTCTGCAAGGCTTCTTTCCTTCTGTGGTTTGTCCCCACTGCTTTTTCTTTTTTAGACGAGAGTCTCACTCTGTCACCCAGCCTGGAGTGCGGTAGCTCAGTCTTGGCTCACTGTGACCTCTGAGCAGTTCTCCTGCCTAGGTCTCCAGAGTAGCTGGGGTTACAGGCGCACGCCACCACGCCTGGCTAATTTTGGTATATTTAGTAGAGACAGGGTTTCACCATGCTGGCCAGGGTGGTCTTGAACTCCTGGCCTCAAGTAGTCTGCCAGCCTCTGCCTCCCAAAGTGCTGGGATTAGAGGCGTGAGCCACCGCGGCCAGCCTCTGTCTCCACTGCTTCTACACATAGTGTTTTTGGCCCAGGGTTTTGTGCAGTTCACATGACTGGGTATCTAGAGATGGTCCTGGCTGTGAATGTGGTCTGGGTGGTGACCCCCATTTATTTGGTTTTGGTCCACAGGGATAGGCTGGCGGGCACTGGTGCACCCCAAGACTCATCCTGTGTCAGAGTATGAATTTGAAGTGATCATCGGTGGGGATGGTCGGAGGAACACCTTGGAAGGTATTGGTCTGTGCTCCTCTGCCTGACTCATAGCAGAGGGGAAAGCGGATGCTGTCCTACCCCTGGGGTGAGACTGTGTGTGACCAGGGTCCTCTCTTTTGAGAGCCTGAATGTGTGCTTCCTGCCCTGATGGAATGGCAGGTCCTGCCTTCCTCTAGCCAGCTGGCACTCAGGCCGCTGCTTTTATTTGATTTAATTATTTCATTTTTGAGACAGGGTCTCGTTCTTTTGCCCAGGCTGGAGTGCAGTAGTATGAGCACGTTCACTGCAGCCTCCATCTGCCTGGTCCCAAGCGATCCTCCCATCTCAGCCTCCTGAGTAGGTGGGACTACAGGCGCGTGCCACCATATCCAGCTAATTTTTATGTTTTTTGTAGAGATTGGGTTTTCCCCATGTTGCCTAAGCTGGTCTCGAACTCCTTGGCTCAAGCAGTCTGCCCGCCTTGGCCTCCCAAAGTGTTGGGATTACAGGTGTGAACCACCTCACCTCGCCCAGGCTGCTGCTTACAGGGCACTCTTGCTGGGGCACTAGGAGACGAGCCATACCTTGAGTGGCTGGCACCTGTAGGACTTAATCTACATATTAATAAGCAGGTACTCCCCCAACACATCCCTTTTTTAAAGAGGAATCCCTGGTACTAAGTAATATTCCGGCCAGTCAGATTTCAAATTGTTTGTTAACGGAGACTTTGACTTCGTTCCTGAATTTTCATATTCCTAGGTAGGTAAATACCTTGTTTTCATCTGCAGAAGAGCTGCCCTAACTTTCCCATCAGTTCTCACCCCCAGCTTTCCCTGATGTCTTTATCAGCACCCCCACTTTCATTTGAAGTGATCTTCCTTCTCTAGCCAGCGATTTATCACCTCCCTCCAGGGTTTCGTCGGAAAGAATTCCGTGGCAAACTGGCCATCGCCATCACTGCAAATTTTATCAACCGAAATACAACAGCAGAAGCTAAAGTGGAAGAGATCAGCGGTGTGGCTTTTATATTCAACCAAAAATTTTTCCAGGAACTGAGGGAAGCCACAGGTTGGTGTTGATGTCTCCGGAGCCTAGGATAGAAACTTAAATAGTCCCTGGGGACGTTTTCTTGGGGGGTTGGTGGGATGAGTGGCCGTCGGGGTGTCTCCTGCACTATCTGCCCCTCCCGCTCTTTTCACTCCTGTGCCTTGTTCCTAGCGCAATGCTTCCTGCAGAACTTGTCTCCTCCTCGCGTATTCTTAACCTCCTCACAGTGACTGGGCTGCTCTGGGTTTTGTTTTTCGTTTGAGACAGGGTCTCGCTCTGTTGCCCAGGCTGGAGTTCAGTGGCGTGATCTCAGCTCACTGCAGCCTCGAACTCCTGGGCTCAAGTGATCCTCCCATCTCAGCCTCCTGAGTAGCTGGGACTAAAGGCAAGAGTCTAATTTTTCATATTATTTGTAGAGGCGGAGTTTCGCCATGTTGCCCAGGTTGCTCCCAAACTCCTGGGCTCTACCTGCCTCAGCCTCCCAAAGTGCTGGGATTACAAGCGTGAGCCACCACACCCAGTCTGAGTTTTTTTGTTTGCTTGTTTATTTGTTTTAAAGCGTTCGTTCTGCCTCCACTGGTTCTTCCCAATGCCTGCCCTGTGCTGTGATGCTAAGTCATGCTGCTTGGTGTAGCTGCTGGCCGGTGGCTCCCTGGTTTGGTTGGGAAGCTGACTTTAGGCCTTTTAAGTATGTAGTCTTCTTCCTGAGTTCCAGCTCAGGCTTGAAGGCAAACCATGTGTCAGATAGCAGTGAGATTGTTGTATGATAGGTTTTGAATAGATCAACGTGGATATTTTGCTAAATGTGCCTTCATTCTTTTGTTTTCTAGAACTTGATTTCTTTCCATTACGTCTATTTTTTAGACTAATTGAATTAGAAAGTCAGTAGTTCACTCTCTGCTTCCAGGCGTCAAGTTGTCTATCCTGTTCTTAAGAATCTAGGAGATTCCTCCAGCTTCCTTGATGACTGTCCCGAGAGGCTTAACCCGATAACTAATCCAAGCCCTCTTTAGAGGTTAGCCTCTTTTTTTTTTTTTTTTTTTTTGCTTGTTTTGTTTTTATTCCCGTCCCTCCAGTTCTGTTTCCTAGCAGTCATTGTTTTTAGGATCGTTTGGGGTGTTGAGTGAATACGGAGAAACAAAGCTCCCTGTATTTCCATGAACTAATGATGCAGGACGTGAGGATCTGGGCTTAGACACCTTTCCCTGCCTGGAGTCTCAGGCGCTTGTCTCTGTAGTCCTGTGTGTAACCTTTCAGGCTGCCCTGATGCACCTTCATCTCAGCAAACTCTTACATGCACACATTTGTCTTCTGGCCCTAGGTATTGACTTGGAGAACATCGTTTACTACAAAGATGACACACACTATTTCGTTATGACAGCCAAAAAGCAGAGTTTGCTGGACAAAGGAGTGATACTACATGTGAGCCACGGATTTCCTTCAAAACTCTTTCTTATTGAAGTGGTTAATATCACCAAGAGAAAGAATTGTCTGATGGGTTTTTCCTGCAAGGGAATGAAAATGAGTACTGAACGCATCTTCTGGTAACCCCTGATGTTTTCCAGTTTAGCGTGAACAACTCTTACTATGGCTGATTGCAAATGTAAATAAAAATGGGGGGAGAATAGTGTAATGAACCCTCACGTACCCACCATCCAGCTTTCACAGTTGTCGACACATGGCCAGTGTTCTGTCAGTAATACTCCAGCGCACTCCTCCTTCACCACGGGATTCTTGCAAAGCGAGTTTCAGATGGCATTTCATGCATAAACATTCAGTTTAATGTTAGGTGATGGGGTTTCTGGTTATTGTTAATTCCATATCTGACTGATGATTGCTTGGTTAAAGAATTATCTTCTGGGAGGGAGAGTGATAGAGGGAAGGGAGTTTGACCAAGAAGCAATGATTGGTGTTTATGGGAGCCTGATGAGGGTTCTCCTGTCACCGCAGATACAGCTTTCAGAGGTCCAGGCAGCACTGACAGGATCAGGCTACACTTAGGCCTCTTTATGACCACAGAACAGGTCTGAGCATCCATCCTAGCCAGGTCCAGCTCGCCTGTTTCTAGGTGACTGCATGGCATGCCCTGAGACGATGGCCTGAAATATGAAGTCAGAAGACCACCACGTGGATGGTCCCTGAAGGAGAGTTTTTTAAGTCTCGCCTGGTCTCATTGGTCTCAACGTGAGAATCACTGTGCTCATGTGATGAGAAGAACGGAAGCAGAGACACCAGTTGTGCTGATTCAGGCCTGTGCAGTTCCCACAAGAGTCTCACAGCTGAACTTCAGGGAGTCCTTTGTCTTTGCAGGGTGGTGTGAATGCAGTCTCTTTAGTCTGAGCTGCAGTACTATCTTATCTGACAGCAGAGCGGGGAGTGAGCTGATGAGCACGTGCCAGTGGCAGAGAGCTCCCTCTTTCTACCCAGGAACCTTGAGCTGTTTCTCAGCACAGCCATCCTGTGTGCCTTCAGGGAGAACCAGGACAAAGCTGTTTATACAGCCCACTCTCCCAAAATCATAAGCAAGACGTATCCGGTTAGATGCTTTCTAAAATTGTCTTGCTGGTTATCTGGGACTACATCAGGGTTGTATTGCTGTTAGTAAGAAATAGCCAGTGAAGCAGTTCGTACGCCTTGAGACAAGGTGAAGACTTAAATCTGCCACCTAGGCAGAACTGTGGTTATCGGTCAGCATTCGATAGGAACAGTCTAGAATGCCAAGACCTGGTTTACTTTGCCTTCGTGTTTCTTTTTTTTTTTTTTTTTAAGAGGGCAGAGGCCATACCTTCGGTGTATGCTGTTAAACACTAAACCCATGTGGCTACTTAGTGTTGAACAAACAGTCTTTCTAGGACCAACCTGAGTGTTTGTGTTTTGGCTTTAACATCTTGTAGTGGTGGCTGAAAGGACCATCAGGGCCACTTAGAAACCGTAGGCCCCACTTTCAGAGAATAAAGACTTGGCTCAGTGTGCCAGGAACCTCCAAAACAGAAAAGGAGTTTTTCAGTCCTTTGTTCTTCTTTGTTTGTGGGTTTCTATGGAGTCCTTCAGAGTCTCATTTTACTATTTTGAAACCCTCTGTTTCATTTTCAACATATTCCTTCCCAGCCTCCTGAACTACCATTGCTCCCACCTCCATGTCTTTTTGGCACTCAAGCTTTTTTGGTTTCTTCCTTTGGGTGTCATGAGTTACGCAAGGCTGAGTGTTTCATGTGGTCCCATTTGAAAAAAGCCATTTACTACCCGGAAGATAATGAAATGCCCTTTCAGTTCACAAAGTACTATCACGTATGTGATACTCAGAACAACCCTGAGGCAGATAGGATAAGATCAAAGGAACAGTAATTATTCCAAGCAAATGGAAAAGCCATGACTGTGTGTTTTAGGCAGCAAGGTCTATGTTCTCTTGGGAATAATCCAACCCCCCCCCTTTTTTTTTTTGAGATGGAGTCTTACTCTGTCACCCAGGCTAGAGTGCAGTGGTGCTATCTTGGCTCACTGCAACCTCCGCCTCCCAGGCTCAAGCAATTCTCCTGCGTCAGCTTCCCGCGTAGCTGGGGTTACCAGTGCACCCCACCATGCCTGGCTGATTTTTATATTTTTAGTAGAGACGAGGTTTCACCGTGTTGACCAGGCAGGTCTCGAACTCTTGTCCTCAAGTGATCTGCCCGCCCCAGCCTCCCAAAGTGCTGGGATTACAGGTGTGGGCCATTGTGCCTGGCTGCCTTTCCCCTTGCCCCTTTTAATGGTATAAAATTTTGGTTTTGTTTTTTTTTGTTTGTTTGTTTCGTTTTGTTTTGTTTTTGAGACAGAGTCTCGCTCTCTCGCCCAGGCTGGAGTGCAGTGGCGCGATCTCGGCTCACTGCAAGCTCCGCCTCCCAGGTTCACGCCATTCTCCTGCCTCAGGTTCACGCCATTCTCCTGCCTCAGCCTCCCGAGTAGCTGGGACTACAGGCGCCCGCCACCACGCCCGGCTAATTTTTTGTATTTTTTTAGTAGAGACGGGATTTCACCAGGTTAGCCAGGATGGTCTCGATCTCCTGACGTCCTGATCCACCCGTCTCGGCCTCCCAAAGTGCTGGGATTACAGGCTTGAAAGTTTTGGTTGTTGGAATGTGGAGTCCCTTCAGGGGGAAGGAGAAGCTGTGGCCCTGGGTCATATAGGATGGTTCTGGCCCAGTGCCAGGGCTTCTCCATCCCTACCCTCCTCTTTCTCTCGAGACAGGACTACGCCGACACAGAGCTCCTGCTTTCCCGAGAAAATGTGGACCAGGAGGCTCTGCTCAGCTATGCCAGGGAGGCGGCAGACTTCTCCACCCAACAGCAGCTGCCGTCTCTGGATTTTGCCATCAATCACTATGGGCAGCCCGACGTGGCCATGTTTGACTTCACTTGTATGTATGCCTCCGAGAACGCCGCCTTGGTGCGGGAGCAGAACGGACACCAGTTACTAGTGGCTCTGGTCGGGGACAGCCTCCTAGAGGTGAGTGCTAAGCATGGCAGCGCTCTGTGGTGGGGGCAGGAATAATTAGGAGTGAATCTGGGCATCCTAGGTCTTGGAATGAGCGTCTGCAGTGTTGTACAGCACAGGTAAACCCCCTGCAGGAGTCACACCAGGAAGTAGGGGAGCGCTGCAGGCCACTGGGAGCCCAGGCTTATTAAGTATGAATGGAAATTCTGCACCTTTTTTGACTTGCTCCCTACCAATCGGGGAAGCAGAGCAGTTTGTTATTGAAACAGTTGCCAAACGCTACTGTCAACAGCAAACTCTTTGTTCCCTAGTTTATTTTTCCTGTTTTGAAAGGTGTTTTATTTTTTAATTCTTTGTTTTGTGTCTTATTTACAGCCTTTCTGGCCAATGGGAACAGGAATAGCCCGGGGCTTTCTAGCTGCTATGGACTCTGCCTGGATGGTCCGAAGTTGGTCTCTAGGAACAAGCCCTTTGGAAGTGCTGGCAGAGAGGTAATGGGAAGTAATCTGGGTTTCCTTTCATGAGAAAACTGGAAAGAAGGAGTGGTTTATTCTTCAGGCAGAGTGCAAGTTCTTCCTTCTCTTTCTGCTTTCTTAATTAAAGATGTTTTCATGTGGAAAAGAGGAAAGGCGAGATAGGATTTCATAAAGTCATAGAAACCTAAAGATGAGTCTCCTGGACTAAGTCTTCTCTTACTCCTTTCCAAGATAAATTTCTTACTGACAGAGAAGAAATTAAAAGTAGCTTTGAATTCAGAGGAAAAATGCCAAACTGCTTATAAATGTTTCTCAAACCCCTAAATGGGTTATGTTGAAGCAGATTTTTACAAATGCAATAAAAATCCTGTGATTTGCTTTCTGATAAGGAACTAATGCCTTGACCAGAATAATTGAGGGATAAGATTTCCCGGATGAAATTGGAAGTTGATACTACTTTATTTTGTCTCTTATTTAAGGTATTCTGACTAAATATAGTGATAATTCTTTTTTTATGTTGATTATCTTTAAAACTGAAGTAGATATTGGCATGCTTGAAAAAATAAAAGAGTAAATGTGTGGCCTTTTGAGTTGGAGGCAGCGTCTGTGGGTACTGATGGTGTTGTGCCTGCTCTCTCTCCTCGGCTTTTACCCATGGGATCACTGCAAGTGGGTGTAGGGAGCAGGGGCTGACGTAGGGCCCAAGAACACTGGTCAAGGATGAGGATCGGGCATGTCAGGTGACTTGCTGGGCTGTCAGAACTACCATGAAACGAGAGGGAGATGTTCGTGGTGCTGGTCCCGACTCAGAGTATATTGCTGTGTTATTGCAGGGAAAGTATTTATAGGTTGCTGCCTCAGACCACCCCTGAGAATGTGAGTAAGAACTTCAGCCAGTACAGTATCGACCCAGTCACTCGGTATCCCAATATCAACGTCAACTTCCTCCGGCCAAGCCAGGTGAGACCTTCTTGTCAGCATTTACTTCTGGGCCCATCTACAGGACTGATGAGAATGCTGATCTATTGAGATGTGTGCACCTATTAATACCACACATATAAGGATGCTTTTTTAGTAATCCAGATAGATGTCTCTCTGAATTGGTAGAAGTAGATACTATTTTGCATTAACAGATTGAGAGCTAAGGCATAGAGTTGTTAAATGACTTAAGAGAAAATCAAACGTGATAAGAATCCAGGCCTTCATGCCACGTTTCCTAATTTAAATTCTTATTGTAGGGAAGAGCACTTGCCCCATAGTGAGGAGAGGTAACTTCCAACTGTGTTGTTGCTGCCAATCACCTGTGACTTACATTCTCTGAGCCTCAATTTCTTTACCTGAAAAATGGGAATAATAATCCCTGACTACTCAAAGAATTATTGTGAGGACAAAAGAGTTTGTTCACGTGAAAGAATTTGTTCTAGTCTAGTGTAATTCTTTTTTTTTTTTTTTTTTTTGAGACTCTCGCTCTGTCACCCAGGTTGGAGTGAGGTGGCGCGATCTTGGCTCACTGCAGCCTCCGCCTCCTGGGTTCAAGCAATTCTCCTGCCTCAGCCTCCCAAGTAACTGGGATTATAGACACCCACCACCACACCCGGCTAATTTTTGTATTTTTAGTAGAGACGGGGTTTCACTGTGTTGGTCAGGCTGGTCTTGAACTCCTGACCTCGTGATCTGCCCACCGCGCCCAGCCCCTGGTGTAATTTTCTTTTCATCTTCTACTTGAAGTTTCCACCTTTAGGCCTCCTGTTAGAGGCAGCGTCATTAGTCCAACCGAGACTCTTAGAGGGAGCCTTCTGTTAAGTGGCAGCATCCGTCATTAGTCCAACCAAGACTCTTTGAGGGACCTCCATGGCCGAGTAACTCATTTTTTTCTCTTTTTTTTTTTAAAGACAGGGTCTTGCTTTGTTGCCCAGGCTCTCTGGGTGTGGTGGCACTATCTTGGCTCACTGAAGCTTTGACTTCCTGGTCTCAAGTGATCCTCCTACCTCAGCCTCCCAAGTAGCTGGGACTACAGCTAATTTTTAAGTTTTTTGTAGAGACGAGGCCTCCCTGTGTTTCCCAGACTGGTCTCAAACTCCTGGCCTTAAGCAATCTGCTGTCCTCGGCCTCCCCAAGTGTAGGGATTATAGGTGTGAGCCACTGCACCCGCCCTGTGTAGCTGATTTGTAGCACAAAGTGCCATAGTTAAAATGTATTTGTTTTTCTTCAACCCCACCTTATTTCATAAAGGATTTAAAGGTCATCATCCTAGCTTCTGTCTGGACTTTGCCCAGCCTGCTATCCCAGACTTTCCTTTCAGCCATTCTTCTCTTAGGTAGGAATTTGCTGCTTGATATTTGATTTTCCTTCTGTTTGACTTTGTAAATTTCTGCCAGGTGCGCCATTTATATGATACTGGCGAAACAAAAGATATTCACCTGGAAATGGAGAGCCTGGTGAATTCCCGAACCACCCCCAAATTGACTCGCAATGGTGAGTTCTGGCGGTGGCTTTTTAAGATGCAGGCAGCCCCTTCAGAGAAGTCTGTACTCATTCACTGAGCCATAAGGTGCGGTCCGAGGCCGCGGCCGTGGCTGAAGCACTGTCTGAGACAGTGGCTGTCAACCAGGGGTGATTTTGCCCTCCAGGGGATACTGGTAGTTGTGTGGGGACATTTTTGATTGTCATGATTGGGAGTGGGTACTCCTGGCGTCGAGTGGGCAGGAGCCAGGGAGTGGTCAGGAGCCAGGGATGTTGCTAAACATCCTGCAATGCACAAGACAGGTCTCCACAGAATTACCTTGGCCTGAGGTGTTATGAGAGCATAGAGAGAAACCAGATACAGATGCTGGGCAGAGGGGAGAGAGGATAGAGTGTCAGAGCTAAGGTTTTGGGGGAAGACTTTGTGGAAGAAGTCTTTGGCTGGGTCCTGCAACATTGCCAGGATTCAGTGACAGGTGAGGACCACTCCAGATTTTGTACGTATTGAAGGCCCTGAAGACTTTTTTGGAAGAGAATGACATGAGCGCACACCTGGTCAGCCACATGTGAGAGGGGATGGAGGAGGGAAGTGCCAGAGGCAGGGAGACCAGGTCGAAAAACATAGCCATGGTCAGGCTGAAGGTGGTGAAGGCCCAGATCTGGCCCTGATGCTGAGGATGAAGAAGAGAGGAGGTAGTGGAGGAGACCTCAGACTTTGGGCCAGATGCAGCTGAGTCCTGGGCCAAGCTTTGCCATTGGTGAATTATGCGGCCTCGAAGAGGTGATTGAATAGCTCTGAACTTCGGTTTCCCTGTCTGGGACGTGGGGGCAGCAGTGTCTACTTCACATTGTGATCATGAGCGCCAGGCCTCCGGTGGATGGTCATTCCCATTGTTCGTTATGTGAGAGAGAATGGTAAGGAGGTGAAATCGATGGGCAGGGCCAGCTGATCACCTTGTGGGGCGAGAGGTGGGTGTTTGTAGATGGTGCTACATCAGTGTAGGCAAGGCAGAGGGAGGGCTGAGAGGGTTGAGTCATTTGGACATTGTGAATTTGATGTGCCATTGGGATGCCAGGGTGGATGTGAGGACCAGCAGGCAGTCGGAAACATTTGCATTTTTCTCCCCTGGAGCGTCTTCTCTTTGAAAGCAGAGAGTGTATCTTTATTCACTGTTTTTATTTTAGAGCCTGGAATACTGAAGTTGCCTATTACATATTGGATGGTTGGATATACACATAGGAGACAGATCTGAGTAAAAGCTCATTTCTGAGCCAAGAGATGGCACCAGAAAGTGGTTTTATGTGTTATTGCAGAATACATTTTCGCGGTGAAAAACCTAAATGAAACAGGATTTTCATGATACTTGGCTTTTGTCTTGTGTTCACAGATTACTAAATGACTTAGTGCAAACTTCAGTTGCCCTCGGTGAGGGAACAGACTTTCTTGGATATAAATAGTTCGTAGATTCTCCTGAATGGCCCGTATCAGAGCTCTTCTGATGTGGTTAATAATAGGAGTTTTAAAGAGGCTGTTCAGGTTTTAGAAGACGTTTCAATGAACTGTAAAAAGCATCCCAGCACATGTGTTTGCCTATTCAGTTTTTCAGGGTTGAGAATTCGTAGTATGAGGTGCCAGGCTCCGTTCGGGGACTGTCTGATCTGGGGCCCCAGTGTTGTCAGCAGAGCCCTGCAGGGCTTCTTCTCTTGGCAAGTTATACAGTGCCTTGGAAGTGCAGGGGCAGGGCCTGGTGCTTTGGGTTGAATGTGCCATCCTGTAAGATGGAGCCTTTTCTCCTCTCCTTTTCCCAATGCTACTTTGGAGGGGGAAGGCTTCCTCAGCCAGGTGCCGGCGACTACCTGAGAACTCAGAGCTGCTGCAAGCCAGGCTGGCCACACAGTAGGTGGCGCTCCTCCACCTCAGTGCCGCAGGGACAGCGGGCTGCGGCTGTCAGGCTGTGGTCCCTCAGGATGCTGGGGGGTGGCATTGACCTTAGAGTCTGGATAAACTAGTAGTTTCTTTTCTTAGAATTCACTGTCATGATACCATTTGCATAACCTTGTTCCTCACTGTTTTCTTTGATTGGAAACTAGTGTTGACTGTTTTGTCCCTACCCTCAGTAATTTTTCAAAGTGGACGTGTGTCCTGCAAAGAGGATTCTCTATCAGTGTTACCAGGTGACCACACCTCCAAGAATAATGTGTTTTGTTGTTTTAGAGTCTGTAGCTCGTTCAAGCAAACTGCTGGGTTGGTGCCAGAGGCAGACAGATGGCTATGCAGGGGTAAACGTGACAGATCTCACCATGTCTTGGAAAAGTGGCTTGGCCCTTTGTGCAATTATCCATAGATACCGCCCGGACTTGATGTAAGTTGTGATCAAACTTTATGTTTTTTTAATATTCCCCAAGGATCTCAGACCACTCTGTTATCAAGTAATATTTTGTCCTTTTTCCTAGAATGAGGTTCATAGTATACTTTAGAAGGCAGTGATTTTGATTTCACTATATTTGAAACTCTGTATGTCATGTATTATATAGCTCAACCCAGGAATGATTTTTATTTTTATTTTTTTCCAATAAGTCTTTTGCGCTCCTATAGCTGAGTTTTAAAAATCACAACACTGATAAGTCAAAAACTGGTTTTGATACCCACCTCGGCCTGTTAGCTTCACACAGAGGAAAACTCTGTTTACTGACCCCGATTGAACTCTTCGTTTCGGCCAGCTATCTCTCAAAATCTTTTTTTTTTTTTTTTTTTTTGAGACGAGGAGTCTCGCTCTGTCCCCCCAGCTGGAGTGCAGTGGCGCCATCTCGGCTCACTTCAACCTCCACCTCCCGGGTTTACGCCATTCTCCTGCTTCAGCCTCTGGAGTAGCTGGGACTACAGGCGCCCGCCACCACGCCCGGCTAATTTTTTGTATTTTTAGTAGAGACGGGGTTTCACCACGTTAGCCAGGATGGTCTCGATCTCCTGACCTCATGATCCACCCACCTCGGCCTCCCAAAGTGCTGGGATTACAGGCATGAGCCACCACGCCCAACCTAGCTCTCTCTCAAGTTCTGTGGGTCACAGGGGAAACCTGGCTAGAACATTTGGCCAGCTCAAGGCAAATGTGTCACTACTAACAAAGCAAAACATCATGAACACTTAACCAGTTCATGATGGTTCATTGGTATTTTCTCTGTGTTAAAGACTGCATTTTTTACAGACATATTCTGTTGTCCTACCCACCTATCCCAGTGACATCTCCTTTGGTCATTCTCCACTCACCTGTCTACAGAATCAGCACTCTGGGGTGACCCCAGGTCAGCTGTGGGGGTCAGCACACTCAGGTTCCCCCATTGGCATTTGTTACCACGGAAGCCAGACAGAAGGATTCAGAAGCAGAGCATGTTGCGTTATTTTGGTTTCCTGTCCTTTCCATCATGAGGTCCACTTAAGAGGCCAATTTCTGTTTGTTTTGTTTAATGATTGCTTAAAGAATCCTGCAAGATATAGTTGCTATTTATATGATGGTTATAAACTGACGAGGCAAGAGCTGGTAAAAATAGCCTTGTGCAGTGTGGATTACCAATGGGGATTTCTGGTGTGCTTGGATGGAGGTAAGTGACCTCTGCTGCTCCTGTCACTTAGCTCACCCAGCAGTTGATAACAAGTAAGTAAGAATAGGGCTTATTCACTCCCGCCAAAGAAAGGGGGTGGGGCAAGGAAGAGCAGCTTGGGAAAGATTGTAGTCAGTGGCAGAGGATGGGCAGGTGAGTCAGCTCTGTTCCGAATGGAACAGGCAGAAGTGGTTGAGGGAGCCTAGCAGGTGGGGGTGGAGGGGCACCGGGCGAAGGTTAGGGGACCGTCTTCTGGGAAGGCAAAGCAGCACAGAGACAGCGCAGCACTGTTCAGCAGCAGTGGGGTCATAGTTTCAGGGGCTGAACCTACAGTGAGGGGGAGTTTGAGAAAGTGGAAAATGCTGTGGGGTCCTAGGTTAACACAGAATAAGGGCTGCTGGGTTAGCCTGAAGTCATGTAAGGAAGAATGCGATCAGTCTTCTGAAAAGCAAGAGGCTTAAACCCAGTAGGAAATGGCCATTAATCTAAATAGGAAACTTAGCAATGGAAACATTTTTTGAGGAAGATTTTGGAATTTCCCCTCCAGGAGAAGGCTAAGATTCATCAGAGCTGATTTAGTACCTTAACAGCTCATCGGGTCTAAGGGCCATGGTGGGTGACAGTCCCGGGCCTGTAGGGGTAATCTGATTCAAATAGATGTATCGTGTTTTCACATTAGTTTAATATGGATGGGCCATATGCAAGGATCAAGATATGTTAAAGATAAGATAGTTCCCATTATTTTTTATTTTTATTTTTAGAGACAGGGTCCCCCACCCTATTTCTCGGGATAGAGGGCAGTGGCACAGTCATAGCTCATTGCAACCTTGAACTTGCAGGCTCAAGTGATTCTCCTGCCTCAGCCTCCCACATAGCTAGGACCATAGGTACATGCCGCCATGCCTAGCTAATTTTTAATTTGAATTAAATTTTTAATTTAAATTGAGCTCCGGGGCTCAAGCAATTCTGCTGCCTCACCCTTCCAAAGTGTTGGGATCACAGGTATGAACCACTGTGCCCAGCCAGTTCCTATTCTCAAGCTCACATTTTAGTGGTAAATTTGTGTTACCAGAAAAATGAGAGTAGTTTTTCGACTTTTTCCCTTTTTTTTTTTCTTTGGTGGGTAAACCTTTCATCACTTCCTGAGGTTACTTTGCTTTTCCTTAGTAAAAAGAAAAAGAACAAGAGGTGAGATAAAACAGGTTTGTTCTCAGATGTCCACGATGCACAGCACCCTGGATTTTAGCTGAAAACAGAGAAAGGACGATGACTCCAGGATACCGTGTTTCTGTTTAAGGACAGTCAACCTATCTTGATACATTTTCCTTGTCCTGTTTCTCAGAGATTTTGATTCTTTGGATGAGCAAAATGTGGAGAAGAATAACCAACTGGCCTTTGACATTGCTGAGAAGGAGTTGGGCATTTCTCCCATCATGACAGGCAAAGAAATGGCCTCCGTGGGGGAGCCCGATAAGCTTTCCATGGTGATGTACCTGACTCAGTTCTACGAGATGTTTAAGGACTCCCTCCCCTCTAGCGGTAAGGCCCGGGAGGAGCTGCTGCACCACCCCCGCTGCTGTGCTGTGGCCCGGCTGTTCCTTCCTTCCTCTCGACTGTCCCGCAGCAGTGCCACCAAACACAAAGTTACTCTGTGTTCTTACCAGTTAGCTGTCGGGGAAATCTCTGGAGCTTTGCTTCATTATTTTTCCCTTCTCTAGTAGTATGTTCTCAACCCCTCATTCTTTCCCAAATCTTTCTCGCTGCATTTATAAAAATGCAGAAATCGTTCCTGTACCAAGTCTTTTTCCATGACTCCACCACCTTCTAGTGCTCGCGCTCTCAGAGCCAGCCTTTTTGAAGAAGTGGTTTGTGCTTGTGGCCTCTGCTTCTGCACGGCCCAAACTTCGTAACGGGTTATAAGCCGGCTTCTCCTCACACTGCGCTACCGCAGCTGTTCCCCAGTGAGGAGGATTCCCACCTCCTAACTCTTTTCTCAGTTCCCATCTCTCACGCACTTGCTTTTCTGCATTGTGGGGCGCCGGAGAACGATGTCCCTTTTCTTGGAATCCTCTCGTCTCCTCCATATCTGTGATCCTGAACCACACTTGTCCTCCTTCTTTCTCCTGTCACTGTGCCTTCTCCGGCTTCTTTCTACTCCTACCTCTTAGCACTTACCAAAAGTCTTTGCTTGGCCCTCAGCTTGCTGCCTCAGGCTCTCATAGTGCTACAAAAAATATTCCTCTTGTCATTAATTGTCACTTTAGAGTAAGTGTAGCATGAGGCTAGAGTGTTGGCTGTGGGGTCTGACCTGGATTTACAGTATCCCAGGCTTCCACTCCTGGCCTTAGGCAAGTTACTAAATTTTCCTGTGTCTCGCTTTCTGTCACCCTGTCTTGTAAAATGGGATAATGGGTGTAAAATGGGGATAATATGTATAATTACATTGTGCTGTGCCAAGAAGGATGTTCGGCCAGTGGAAGTACTTAATAAATGTTAGTGATTTACTATGAATTAATGACTATTTTAAAAATTACTGTTGTTATTAATGAAACATTGAAATCCAAAAAACTTGTGTTACCACCTTCCAGTACTTTCCAGCCCATGTATTCTTGTAGGGCTCGGTGGCTTTTCCTGGTTAGCCATGCCATTCTTACAACAGAAAGCCACAGCTCTAACACTGATGTACCCATGCAGTGCCACCCCTGTCTGTGTGCAGCTCAGAGCGTGGCATCTGCATACGCTAAAACCAGGAACCCTGAGGTCATCGCCTCTCTGCTTTTCTCTCTCCCTCCCTCTCTGTCCGTTCCGAAATTTTTATCACAAAAACGAGCCTTCAGCACTCTGCTGTAACTAACAATCACAGCCAGCTTCCAACTTCTGAAAAGCAAAAGTGCAGGTTTTGGTAACTGAAGTAGATTGGGAAGAAGAGTCATTTTTGTTGATGTGGATGAAAAAAAGAAGGCTCAGTGTCCATACCCAAGTATGCATTTCCTCCGTGAAGTTTCCTGCTGAGGCCACGTGTTGTCATAGCTGGTGAACCTTTAGAACTTTCTGAGGCTCTGCGAACCATCCATAAGGGAGAGTAGTTTTGGGCGGGATTTTGCGGTGCCCTCAAGGGCTGTGCTTGAACATCACTGGTTTCTGTTCCCAGACACCTTGGACCTAAATGCGGAGGAGAAAGCAGTCCTGATAGCCAGCACCAGATCCCCTATCTCCTTCCTAAGCAAACTTGGCCAGACCATCTCTCGGAAGCGTTCTCCCAAGGTATGTGGAGGAGTCTCTCGACCGGCTGCAAAGCTAATGGCAAGGTATGTGTGGCTAGAATAATGCAGTTTCCCTTCTCCCTTGGTACAGGATAAAAAGGAAAAGGACTTGGATGGTGCTGGGAAGAGGAGAAAGACCAGTCAATCAGAGGAGGTGAGATTCACTTGGGGAATTGCTAGAATGGTCATGAGGAATAGCCCTTTTTGGTTAAAATCCTTCATTTCCACAATGGTATTGCCAGGTCTTTTCCTATTCATCCTTTATGAGAATTTCTGCTGGGCTTTTTCTTTTCTTTTTTTCTTTTTTTTCTTTTTTTTTTTTTTTTTGAGACAGAGTCTTGCTTGTTGCCCAGGCTGGAGTATAGTGGCGTGATCTGGGCTCACTGCAACCTCCGCTTCCTGGGTTTGGGCTCCTGCCTCAGCCTCCCAAGTAGCTGGGATTACAAGTATGTGCCACCACACCCAGCTAATTTTTGTAAATTATTTATTTATTTATTTATTTTGAGACAGTTTGGCTCTATTACCTAGGCTGGAGTGCAGTGGTGCAATCTCGGCTCACTGCAGCCTCCACCTCCAGTGTTCAAGCGATTCTCATGCCTCAGCCTCCCAAGTAGCTGGGATTATAGGTGTGTACCACCATGTCCTGCTAATTTTTGTATTTTTAGTAGAGATGGGGTTTCACCATGCTAACCAGGCTGGTCTCAAACTCCTGACCTCAAGTGATCCGCCCACCTCGTCTTCCCAAAGTGCTGGGATTACAGGCCTGAGCCACCGCGCCCGGCCAGGTCCCAGTACTCTTTATATGGCCCTAGCTTGAGACTTGCTGTCCCCTTGTGGACACGGGAGCTTTGAGAGCTGAGCCAGACCACCAGCCCCCGTGCCAGGTCCTGAGCGCACTTCTGTGAGGGAGGGACATGGGGGGAGCCTCCTGTCACAGCGCCGGGTTCTTTGGGGTTGGTATTGATCAGGAGGAAGCTCCCCGGGGCCATAGAGGAGAAAGACCGACCCTGGTGAGCACTCTGACAGACAGGAGGATGGACGTTGCCGTTGGGAACCAGAACAAAGTGAAGTACATGGCAACCCAGCTGCTGGCCAAATTTGAAGAGAACGCACCCGCACAGTCGGTCGGCACACGGAGACAGGTAAACCCAACCCGTGCCTCGCCCACACTGATGTGGTCAGGCCACACAAGAAGAGGGGATCTTTTCTGTCCATTGAGATGGGCTGTGTCACAGACCCTGGGGTTCATGGGCTCAAGACGGGCGTCTGGCTTTCCCTCGCCTGACTGCAGCAGAGAAGAGCCCTTTATCTGCTTGCTTCAGGCTCTGAGGGTCGCTCTGTCCTCAGCATTCTGGCCTGGGTTGTCCCCTGACAAGAATCAGCAGAGGGATCTAAAAGAATCTGTATTCATATACCTGTACATCTGTGCACGTTTGCAGATATATTTAAATTTAGAGAAGTACACACTTACTGAGGAACATGCTGAGAAGTACAGTAAAGGTAATGAAGCCACCTGTGATTCTATTAATTTTTTCCTGCCCTTCTTTCTGGTCTTTTTTTTTCAGTGTATTCTTGTTTTTGTAGATAAGGTCATTCTTAACATATACTTGTCGATTCTCCTTTTTTCATTTCACCTTAGGCATTCCCATGTTGTCCCTGACTCTACAAGCACCTTCTAGAATGTGTGGGCATCAGGCTTCTCTTAGCTGTTGCTCTAGTGTTGGATGTTCAGGTTATTTCTCATCTTTCATGATAAGATACAGAGATAAACATTCTTATGATAAACCTTTTGTGTGTTGCAGCAGTTTCTCGGGATATTTTCCTAGGACTATGAGCATTGAGTGCTAAGTGGCACTCCCACACACCATGCATGAGAGTGCATGGCAGCAGCTTGTGGCTTGGGGTGTCTTTGTTAGGGTGTGTCTCTCCCCTTGCTTGTCTAAAAGTCACTCTGACTTCTTACAAGAGGTGGGCCTGGGATTTTGGAGATTGACACTGCAAGTGTCTCATAAATCTCCATGATAACTGGAGAGAGCAGCCGGAGGGCAGCGGCCCCTTCTCTGAATTTCCCTTCACTCTCTTCATCTTCTCCATGCCCATCAGCCATTCTTCCTATGGACCAGATGGGTGGGAGCAGCTTTGCTTGGAGTCTGACCGTAATTAACTACCTGCCACATCTAGTCTTTGCACGCCAGTCTTTTCATGCTGTGGCTCACAGAAAAGGTGATGATATTCACTGATAAACAGTTGAGGTTGTCTGGAGGCTCTGGCAGTCCCAGGTTCCCCTGCCTTGCTTGGGAAGGCTGGAATGCTGCCCGTTAGAGGAAGGTTGCCTCTAAGAGAAGGTTACTTTCCTCATTTTGGATGGGAATATTAGTTTTCCAAATCAGAATTAGTGGTTTCGACTCAGAGAGCATTTAGCTTGGAAAAGAGATGATGCGTTTTACAGCTTCTGTTTTCCTTTTTCTGTTCTTTTGCATTTGCTTTTGGTTTGGGGGAGGCTGTTTGCTTTGCTTTAGAAGTATAACTTTCTAAGAATGAATCCTCCCTCTTCCCCACAGTTCACAGGTGTGGGGCTGTCCCCTGTGAGTTCTTTCTGTTCTTCTCCCACCTTAATGTACTTTTATTTTGTTTTGTCTCCATGTCCTGTCCCCACCCACACTTGGCCTGTGTGTCCCCAGCTGACACAAGAGCGTGGGGCCAGCCAGCCGTCCAGCTGCCTGCCCGGGCAGGTTCGCCCTGCCCCCACCCCGCAGTGGAAACAGGTAAAGGAACTGCCAGGGCCAGGATGGGTGCTGTCTCTCCAGGCCTTCCCACCCCGCTCCTGAGCCAGCCAGGGTTCAGGCCTGTGCTCTGGAATCCTAGCTCATGAGGGCCGGAAGTCTCCGCTCATTCGAGTAGTAGCTTTGGGAAAACATTGAACAGGCAGGGCTGACTGATTGCACGATTTCTGTAACTCCTGGGGATTTGAGAAAGAGTTAACAGGGAGACTGTTGATTTGGTTTGAAACTCGCTGAAGCGGTGTGGTAGGCGGCTCACCTAGGGGTACCCGAGCTCTTGGGTTTGCTGTTGTCCATTTGTCTCAAGCTGACTTTTTTCCAGCATGTCTCCTCGTGACCCTGGGAGAGAGAATTCTGAGTATGTCAAGCCTGAGAGTTGGGGCGTGGAGCCTTTTAAATGGGAAAATGTTATCCAGGAAAATAGTCTGGAACTGTGCGTTTGTGTTTGTTTTAAATCCTGGATGAAAGTATTCCTGGATGTTTTATTGGTGTTCTCTCTACATTTAAATGAATGTTTTTGGAAATTTTCACTAAAACCTTGGCAGGATCTCCCGGAAAACTGCGTATCCTAAGTGGTACAGAATAGGGCAGGTGATGGCGTGCACTTTCTAAGAAAAAACCCAGCAGAGGAATCGGGAGCCCTGACTGTGGCTCCTCCATGTCACAGATGAGCAAGTCCCTGCTCTCGAGCGGAGCCAGGGTTGGCTGCCTTGTAGGCTGATATCATTTAGGTCTGCTGAGATGCCGAGAGGGCCGTGAGCTGGTCCTGGATGCCGTCAGCGCCTTCCGTAGTCGGTCTCCCCAGCCTCCTGTGCTGTAAAGTGACTTTATGGTCAGGAGATGCTGAGGGGTGGTGAGTTGGGTTTTATTTAAGTTACTTACATTCCGGCAAAAACGTTCCTTTCTAACCGTTCTTTTGTAACATAGCACATTAAAGACAGGGCCCAAAAGGCTGAGATGGAATTTTGGGAGCAGTGTCCAAACTCACAACAGGAGACAAATTCACCCTTTCTCTGTGCATGAGGGAGGTCTTCTGAAAAATCTAATTGGAAATTTACTTGCATTTTATTTTCTTAACCTTGGCCTTGATGTCTCGGTGGAAGAATCGATTTGAAAGATAATGTTTAGTTGAGGATCTGTTGAAGGGGAAAGTGAACTCTAAATTGGATTCCAAAACCTCTTACAGTATTCATAACAGGTGCCTGAGGTGGGAGGAGCAGAGGGAGAGGGAGATGAGGAGTAACGCAGGCAAGTGGGGGAACGGGTGGCTGTGGCTGGAATGGTGCTGAGGGGCCGCTGGAAGCATCCTCCCTGGAGAATGTTGGCAGTCACTGCCAGCGCAACTTGTCACCTGAGTCAGTATGGTCATGGTGGAGTAGGAGACTGGCAGGCTGTATGGGCAGTGGAATAGAACCATCAAAGTCAAACGCAGGTTCTGTGGGATGGGCACCAGATTACAGTTGGAGACAGTAGCTGGGCAGATGTATAAATGAGACTTGATTGGTGAGAAATCGTTAGCAGTGAGAACCCCATTAGGTTCTTTGGTAGCTTAGGGGATATCCAGTAGGGATCTGCGAATTTATCAGGTGGCAGGGAAGTAGCACTGTGAACCAGAACTCACAGTTCTTATGTCCGTGTGAAATGTATAGTATTCACATAGAACTTTCTCAGCTCTAAATCATGAATTTAGGCCTTCTAAATTTATCTCCTGAAAGAGTTGGAGTTGCAGTGTCAGATACTTGCAGAAACCTGGGACAGAGGAACCCCAGTGGTACCCGGGCCCTGCGTCTGATGCCTCCCATGGCTGGCCCTCCACATCTCCCTTCAGGAAGCGGGGCTGACTGGCAGCACCCCATTGTGACTCATAGTGCTTCTCTGGAGGTGGTTCAGAGGCAGGAGGGCATTGCCTGGCAGGGCAGTGATAGCTGAGTTGACAGAAGGGTCACCTTCAGCCTAGGTCATCGTATGGAAGAGGGAAAATAATAGCAGCTCAGCCTGCCAGTGGCTTCCCTTCATTTCCTTCCTTTGTAAACGCTGTGGCTCTTCCCATCCTTTTGCCTTTTGATCTCAGAAACACATCCTGAAGGCAAGCTCTGTGCGTTAACCAGCCCTAGTTTGGAAGTAGATTGTCATGGGAGCTCTGAGCGAGTACGGGGCTGTTTCCCCAGGCCTCGTGGCTTCCCTGCTCACCTGCTCCCTGCATGCTGCCCTGGGCACAAGGAGATGAGAGTTTCCCTGGAAGATATCAGAGAGGCCTGGGAATGTGTGATTGTTTCTCAAATACCAGGGACTTTGGGGCTTTGTAAATTGTAGACAGACTCTCGAAGGGAATATGGTGGAGGGGGCAGAATGAGAGAAATGCCAGGGACGTGTATATGGCATTTGAATGTTAGTGAGACACCTTTAATTTTAACATAATGCTCCTGCCTTTCTTGCATTTCCTTGTTAGTTTCCTGAAGCCCTTTGAGTACAGGGACTGAGGGGAGGGCAGCAGTGCCAGCCACTGTCACAGCTGTGCCCTGAAGAGGCTGCTGCTTCGCTGTATTGGGTGCACATGACCAAGCCCTTGAGAGGGGGTCTCTGTGTCCCCTCTTGGCGGTTGGCCTGTTTGCCCTTTCTCTCTACTCATCAGCAAGCCTATTTCTTATATCCCCGGCTTCCCTGAGAAAACCGTTGTTCCCTGGCACCTGGAAGGTGCTACCTGCTGGTTCTCCCCAGTCCTGCAGATCACCTCTGTGGCTGTGCCCAGCAGAGGGTGCACGTCCCACCTGGGGGCCCACGGGAGACCACTGGGCTGCCCTCTGAGGATGAAGGGGCAAGGAAAGGCCTCCCTGGGGTACTTCTGACAAACGCCCTTCAGTCCTCCCAGAACCAGCCTCCACGTGGCCACTGTTTGAATAATGTTCTCTCTGTTTGTGTCTGTTGGTGTAAAAGCAACGGGAAAAGGAGTGTTCTCGGACCTGCCCCAAAAAAGTGATCACCCTGTCTCCTCCCCCTGCTCCACCTCCCTGTCGGGCGCATGGCAGCCAGCAGGTGATCCTCTCTGCATGCTCCGTGGTCCTGTCTCTGTCTCCCTGCCTGTCTGTGTAGGTGGCTAGTGTAGAGACCAAGTCAGTTTCCCTCTTCTCAGCAGTAACTGTCAAGAAGAAAGGCCATGCGTAGAAACCATTTATGGTGGAAGCAACTTTTATGGCCCTCAGGATGGTGCATCCTACATTCACACCTGACCCTGGTCAGTCCCACCCACACCATGGAAACATGACTGTCCCACCATGAACTAGAAGTTCAGCTGTAACTGATGTTTGTCACGCATCCGAGGCCCAGAAGCCCTAAGAGCAGCCTGTTTTTCTGAAACCCCGCTGAAGGCAGCCCTTTTCTCTTGCTGCACAGTGAGGTGGGGTGAGGCCTTCGGGCGCTGCCACAGGGCTTCTCCACGTGAGTTTCATTCCTTCTGATTCTGGGAACTCTGCCTCTTGCCCGTTCAGCGTCTTCCAACAAACACTCCTCCCCGCTGCACTCACACACCAGGCAGAGCGTTCAGGAGCAGCCCTGGAGCCAGACTGGAATCTGACTTGTGGGACCGGGGCCACGCTCTGGCCTCCCCCTGCCCACAGAGACATTATGCTCACGGGTGCTGGATAGGAGCAGCCATGTCAGAGGCCTTGGGACTGTTTTTCCACCGGCTCACGGCTGTAAGGCGAACCCTCAGCCAGCCAAAGAGTAATGCAAGCAGCCTTCCCTGGTCCTGTGAGTGCAGTTCCTGGCTCCTCAGATGAGCAAGGCCATGTCCCTACCTACAGGTCTCTACCCTCTCACATATACCTTCCCGTCCATTCACCAAAAACACATTCACTTCTCCCTTTAGTAGATTATTCTTTGGCCCGATGCTCCTGTTCAGGGACCACTCCCCACTCTGGAGTTTCCTCTGGACTGCTGTCTTAGTCCTTTATTCTAGCCAATTTCCACCTCCCCACCTTTCCTTTCTAAAATGTCTTATTGTGGAATGTGTCACCCTTTTAACCTGCCTCTCCTTCTAAACCTTCCATTTGATGCCTCTGATCTTACACCACTGTGTGAAAGAAGTATGCTTGTTCCACCTTGTACTAACCGTAGTTCGTTATTGATCTGTGTAGCTGGCCTCACTGGAGGCCGGCGGGGGCAGAATGGCTATGCAGAAGGTCGGCCTTGTGTCATGGGATTTGATACGGATGGGATTATGGATACCTGGGAATGGGGTTAGTAGGGGAAGGGGATATGTGTTGAACTCTGAATTTCTGCCCCTGAATTTCCCACTGTTGCTTAGTAGATCCAAACAGAGCATTATGCATGGAGCTTAAGTTTCTACTTTATTGCCAACAGACATACAGGGATCTTGATGCTGACAACCGTGGCAAGCAGAGCCCCCACCATGAGAGGGTAAAAGAGCATGAACCCATGGCATGGGATGCTGAGAGCCAAACAGACGGGGCACGCTGTGGTGGTGGGGCAGCGGGAAGGGATGTGGGGGATGGCCCCCTCCCCTTGCTTTTTGCACACTCTTGTCACCCAGCCAAGAGCCAGAATTCTTTTTGCTAGCAGTGTTGAGCAGTGCAAATAGCATTCGCTGTAAAGCAGGCACCCATCTGGCATTCAGATGGGATGCTGACCCTAAGTGTGTGTGTTCTGGTAAAGGGCCTTAGTGACTTCCCGTTTCTGCCCACTGTTCCCCTTCCAAGACCATGCTATTTCTACCCCCGAAATACGTGCCAGTGGTAGAGTAGTAGCATTGGACTGTCAGATACGACTTCTTAGGGAAAGGGTCTAGATCAGTATTCAAGTGGCATTCAACAGTCACGGATCTTGAAGTGGAAATCCTGAGAGCCAAAGCTCTTACCAGCGTGAGGATTTTTCCAGTAGGGTAAGAATGAGGGGGAGAAAGGTAGGTGATGGCAAAATGGGGCTGTACCTGTGGAAAGCTTTAGTCTTTTCTGAAAACTAAGGGGGAAGTTACTGATTGCAGCTGGCCATCGTATAATGTGAGGGATAGCCGAGATGCCCAGTTAAAGAAGCTGGCTTACTTTAGGAAACTTTTGTTCTTGTTGTTCGTACCCGTAAAGATCTCCGAGTGGCTGTAGCTCTGCAGCTACTGGGAAGAGTCATCTCTAGTTGTTAATCTCACAAAAGCCATTTTGAGAAATGCAGTTATGGCCAAGCAGTAAATTAGGTTACCCCTCGGACCCGATAGGAGCTAATCATAGTGCCATCTTCCTGCACCCTCTCACCGGGCTAGCAGCGGGCAGTGTGTGTGCTGCCTGAACCTGGTGCTGGGTCGGGGAGAGGAGACTGGGCTGGAGGTGAGCGTCTTTCCCATCCCCTTTCCATGGCCTCGCCCCACTGTGCTCACCCTTTTTGGGGCTGCCCCCCCCCCCCGGCACTGTGTGCCCAGCCTCTTTCTCCCTTCTTCCCAGGCTGTGTCCCCTCAAAAAGGAAAACAGCCCTTTTCATTGAGCAGGGCAGTGCCCTCCATTTTGGGGATCACATATTTAATGAGAGACTGATAATGTTTAATGAAACAGTGCCTAAAAGAAGGGAGGGGAAGGCCGGGCGCGGTGGCTCACGCCTGTAATCCCAGCACTTTGGGAGGCCGAGGTTGGCGGATCACGAAGTCAGGAGATCAAGACCATCCTGGCTAACATGGTGAAACCCCGTCTCTACTAAAAATACAAAAAATTAGTCAGGCGTGGTGGCGGGCGCCTGTAGTCCCAGCTACTCGGGAGGCTGAGGCAGAAGAATGGCGTCAGCCCAGGAGGCGGAGCTTGCAATGAGCCGAGATCGCGCCACTGTACTCCAGCCTGGGCGACAGAGCGAGACTCCGTCTCAAAAAAAAAAAGAAGAGAGGGAAGCATGTTGAATAGGAGAGATTGGCAGTGAGAAACAATTTGAAGTTCAGGGCTGCTGTGCAGAGAGGGGAAGAGGTAGGGTTTTGAGCTCAGGAGGCAATAGTTTGCAGAGATGATTCTCTCTTTTTCCCTCTGAGCTGGTTTCTGCACTCCTCGGTGCAGGGCTCCAGACTGGATACTTTTGAGGACTTAAGTTCTTTTCTTGGACTTTGCCGCCGTCCTCCATAACCCTGCATGTGTACTCACCTGCTCTCTGCCCACCTCTGCCCAGCCCCCCACTCCTCCCCTTGGCTGTGACTGCTCTGCCCCCCAGGAGGCTACTGAGTCTTCCTCTTGCTTCCTTCTGGTGGGTGGTGCTTACAGCCGTCCTCCCCAGCTCCCTCTGGGGCCTGTGTTGCTGAGCCCAGGGCCAGGGAGCTGGCGAAGTGTCTGAAGCAGAGGCTGTTGAAGTACCAGGTAACTGCCGCTCCATGTTGCCACTCCACGGAGCTATGAAGTGCACGTGACTGAGGTAGAGAGTGTGACCGATCTGGCTTGGAGCTGGAGGAGCAGAGGGCTTCCTCGTACCATGAGTTAATGCTGTCCTTCCCACCTGTAAATAGTTCATTCTGAACCTGGTGGGAAACTCAGCAGTTACTGGTTGCCAAAGCTTTCAGTCACTGCCTCACTCTCTGGGGACTGGGTTCCTAGCTGCATGGGCCCACGGCTAAGGAAGACCCTTGCTCAGTTTTGTTACATGTGCTATGTGCAATCTGTAGAGGACTTGGGCTCAAGCCTTTTCTCCTCATCGTTGCTTGGGATTCAGCTGCCTCCTTGGCAAGGAGAGCCTCTTTGAGCACTAGTGGAAGGAAGAGATGCTGCATTTCTGGCCCTTCTGTAGAAGGAGCAAGCTTCACTCTAGATTTGCTGTCTCCACTGCCTGCTACTTCTAAGGCCAATGGAGTGATGGGGTGGTGGGAGAATCTTTTTGCCCAGGAGAAATCCCAGCTCAGGCCGGGGGTTGCTCTCTGCAGAGCACAGAGCATGTGAGTCAACGAGACCCCCACTCTCTCCCCTCCTTACTCACACAGAGGGAGGGCGAGGCTGTGCTGGGTGGCCCACAGCTGCGGGACTGCGTTCCAGGGCGTGCTCTGCTGCAAGCATGAGGGAAGGACAGATAAAAGCAAAACGGAAGCCTTGCATGGGCCACTTATGCTTCTGGGAGCTACTTTTTTTTTAGTACACATGGCATTTAGATAAAGGTCTAGAGTAAAAGGCTGTACAACTGCCAATCATCTTATGTTCAGAGGTCAGTGTGTGACTTAACATTTCCTTTAATTTTGTTTTTCTCCATCTTGTATTTTATAGCCAGAGCCCGAACCTCCTCGTCGATTTTTTGTCGACCAGTGGGAGCTTTCTCTTAGTCTCCGCTCCTCTGCCCGCCCCGCCTCTCCCTCCTCCGACTCCCTCCGACAGGTAGCATGGCCTAGGACCCACTAAAACTCTGCCCTCTGCAGCCTCCACTCACTTCACTTTTGCGAGTGTCATGTGCCCCAGGAGGTTGCAGGGTTCCTTACTTGGGCCTGTCTCCTGTAGGGAGCCGGCTGCATGTGTCGCTGTCTGCGTATGTCGGTCTGGTGTGTGAGGGCTGTGGCACACTCCTCAGCTAAAGTGGCTGCTGGCTTTCGTCCAACTGTATTTGACACATCCAGGTCTGTCGATGTGAACCGGCTTTGATGCTGTTTCAACTATATCAAATAATAATAAACGTTTTTCGGCCACTGGCTTTTTTAACTTCACATGTCTTCCAAAATAGTATGTGTTACAAAGTAGGAGCCGCAGTGTAACTAAATCACCTCAGTGGAGGGGTGACCATGCAGTGTTCTGGCTGCCTGCTGTCATCATTTGAGGAGTGAACGCGGCTGTCACCTGAAGTAGCGCTGGTCCAGTTGTGGGGAGTTTCTAGAGAGATTGGAAGATCTCTTTGCCACTCCTGTTGGTATTTCCCATCCTGGGTTGACGCCGGACCTCCCGGCATATGTGCATGGTAGCATATGCACACATGTGGTGTGCAGCAGGATCGATCCTGCAATTGCTACATTTCTGCTACTTTTTAAGAGGGATGAGAAGGAAACCATCACTTTTCATGCCAGAAACAAGTAGAACTTGAGCCTTCACCTCTCTTGTAGGGATGCTCGTCAGTGTTGCCGACTTGCTGAGAACTGAATGTGGCAGATGCCTTTGAGTGGGCAGCCCCAGACTGTCACTGCTGAGGTTGATGGTTTAGTTCAGGAGAGAAAGGTCCTGGCTGAGCAGTGAGGGCCCAGGGCTGGCTTGGTGTCCTGGCCTCATACTTGGCATCTGGCCCACACTCCCCTCCCCTGTGTCTGCTGCAGAATGAGAGAAATGCCATTTTCTGCTCCCTCAGTGTCAGCTATTAAGTTATCTGCTCAGCTCTGCCTGGTGTCTGTCGGTCCCAAGCCTAAACTTCCTTAGTGTGCCTAAAGAAGGTTTAGATCTAAGAGCCATGTGTTTGTCTTGGCCACTAATAGGTATAATCTGTGAAGTTAATGGGCAAATGGCACCAATCCTTGGGAATCTTATTTTTGAATTAAAAACTATAATTGCTTCTTCAGCTCAGCTGAGCCTTGAGCTGAACCACAAGAACGGCTTCCTCATGTGTGCATCTGTGAGTCCCCCGAGCGCCTGCTTCCCCCTGCCCGGTGCTTCTGTGATTCTTCCTCACACGAGGCCTTATGCGTCTGTCCGTTCAGGCCATGCCCTAAGGGGGCTGTTGGCATCCCCAGGATAATGGCTCGTGGTGAGTTTCTGAGTCAGAATTAGGGTCAGGTTTCCCCCGGGGGCAGGGAGCCCCCTTCCTCCATGAAGTTCATGAGAGGAGCGCCACCCACGTGGTGGCGTGGCCATCTCCACATGGAAGGGTGACCTGGGTGTGGGAGTCTCTAGAGGACTTCCTCTCAGGACAGGTCACGGCAGGGCTGCCTGGGCACCCAGCTTAGCTGCGAGCAGGGCGGCTCACAGTGGAGACCTGGAAGTTTCTCTTGTGGTTTCTTCAGTGTTGCCAGAAAGAGGCTTGAGTTGGTTGGGTTTTTTTCTCTCACCTTTCTTCAGCCTCTAAAGTAATCCCTCCTGGCCTAGAACACATTCCCACCTCCCTGGGCTGATGGAGCAGCTTGGCTGCACGGCCACACCTCGTGGCCAACACGCCCAGCCCAGTCTAGAAGGCTTTGGCCTCAGCACCTGGATGGGCCACACGGGCCTCATCATGCTGCCCTCAGACCCCCAATACCATCAGCAGGGAGAATGGGCTGAGAAGGCTTCTTCCAAAACAGCCTGGGAGCGTTGGCTGCCTGTGGCAGGCATTGTAGGGTCAAGCATCAGGAAGCAGGAAGAGATGGCAACGTCCGCTACCCACATGGAGGCGGCCTGTGCAGGAGCGAGCATGGCTCCTTCTGAGTGAGGAGATGGCCTCCTGGACCGTGAAAGGCGGCGTCAGCCCGGGCACCACTGCGTGCATGGGGGTGCCCCTCGAGTTCTGGGAACGCAGCCCAGCTGCGCAGGACCCAGGCCCTGCCTGCCCGTCTCTGCGCGTTCGCCCTGCCTTCTACCACTATTGCCTGGAATTGTGCAGTCCGCAGAGATGGGAGAGACCCAGTTCTTCCCGAGGAAGACGCTTTCCCTGCAGCGGTCCTGTCTGTGCTGGTACCCGTGTGGACACTGACACGATGTTTTTCTTACCACCCGGTTTCCCTGCCTGTGAGCACTGTGTTGGCATGGTTTGCTGCTGCACCTTGTATTCAAATTGCACTTCCCAGAGATTTCTTTTTTTCCCATGTCTTCTTAATATATGTATTTTTTTCCTTCTCATTTCCCTTCATTCTGGTCATTTTGTAACCTTCAACCAATAGAAGTATATAAAGATGTACACGGGCGGAGTGAGCTCATTGGCTGAGCAGATAGCCAATCAGCTTCAGAGGAAAGAACCACCCAAAGCCCTTCTAGACAAGAAGGAACTGGTAAGAGACGTCTCCAGGCACTGTCTAGCTAGACGCAGCACAGCCGTGGGAAACACACCTGTGTGCTTGGGTCGCTTGTAACTTGTGTAGCCCGTGTATGCCATGCAGTAATCGCTTTTGAGGTTGTCTGGATTTTGATAACCAAATTTCTAAGACTGCAGTAGTTGTTGTGTGAGTCCAGGGACCCACATATATTCACATGAACTACGTCAGCACTGAATAGATACAGATACAGCTACCCTCAGAACAGGACTCTGCCAGCGTTTCCATTTGAGCTGGGGACCCTCGGGCCCCTTCTTGCCTTCTTCCATGTGCGTCTTTTCCATCGTGCCCCTCCCAACCCTTCTCACCCCTCTCCCTCCATTGCTGTTTCTCTAAGACTCTTTCTTATCAGTGTTTCCCAGCGTCGCCAGGCTGTATCATAGCATTACTCAAGTCTGGTGTGAGGCACTGTGATGCTGGCTCCCTCGTCCGCGGCAGCCTGACCTGGGCTTTCGCGGTTGTGCCCAGTGTTCCTTGTCAGCGCGTGGAGGCAGTGACCGTGGTGGTGCCCTCACTCTGTGGCAGAGCCAAGAGCACGGTTGACCCTAGCCAGTCAGTAGTCTGTCTCAAAGCAGACCACTTAGCGAGGGTTGGCTTTGTCTCGCCAGGCTGTGCCTCTAGGAGGGCCCGTGCGGCACTCCCTGAGGTGCTCCCCTTCCTCCCGACCGCCACCTGCAGGGCTCCATGAAGAAGGAGTTCCCGCAGAACCTGGGAGGCAGCGACACGTGCTACTTCTGCCAGAAGCGGGTCTACGTGATGGAGAGGCTGAGCGCCGAGGGCAAGTTCTTCCACCGGAGCTGCTTCAAGTGCGAGTACTGCGCCACCACCCTGCGCCTGTCGGCCTACGCCTACGACATCGAGGATGGTGAGACACCCCACGCCTCAGGTCCCACGGAGAAACTGGGCTTGGACAGTGTTTCCATCTGAGCTGGGCGCCTTCGGGCCCCTTCTGCCTTCTTCCATGTGCGTCTTTTCCATCGTGCCTCTCCCAACCTTTCTCGCCGCTTTCCCTCCACTGCTCTTTCTCTAAGACTCTTACTATCAATATTTCCCAGCGTCACCAGGCTGATGAGAATGGCATGCGTTTACCCAAGTCATTTCCCTGACTTCAGGGACACTTACTTGTGTTCTGACCTCAGGCTGTGAACTTGAGATAAAAGGAACACAAGACGAGGTTTTCGTCTTTACTTTACAGAAGGGGACTTGCACATCCATAGAAGTCACATATTTTGCCTCAGGTTGATGATGACAGCAAGTTGGAACTGGGTCCCAGGCCCCTGGGTTCTCAGACATTTGCTCTTGGAGATGCCTGCAAGGTGGCCCGTGTTAACGCCTCTCTGGCATCCGTCTGATCTCTCTTTGGTGGGTTGTGAACCACTGCACAGGGCCTGAATCTGATTTACTGTGGTGTTCAAGGCCTGGTCTTTGGCAACATGTGCCAGTTTTTACAATGAAAAGACCTTGAGGTAAACAGTAGAGAATTCTGCACACAGATGATAGAGCCGTCATGATGGGCAGAGGCAGGCTGGCTGCCATCTGAGGACCCTGCATTGATGACCCCCATCCCCATTCCTATAGGATGCTGCAGGGACTTCGTGGAAGGCAGTCTTATAGATTCCAGAGTAATGAGGGGGCCTAGATTAATAGGAGAGGCAGTAATCTTTATAAGGTGGCATAAAGACCCTGACATTGATAAAAGATTGCGTGGCTATGAGATCATACAGTGATGTCATCTAGGAGAGGGATGCCATGCAATTAGGACCTAGTCACTTCAGCTGTCCCGAGGATGAACAGACGGGCACCTCTGTCAGAAGGAGCAAGGAAGGAGCCCAGAGAGGTGAGCCGAGACAGACTGACTCCTGCATGGTGCCTGGCCCTTCTACTGTGTTGGTAAAAAGCACTCCGAGTCGGGGAAGAGTGGAAGAATTAGGATGCTGTTTAGATAAGGCAGGCAGATGGTTTGTTGTCAAGTCTTCTGTTCCACCTCTCCCACACACCTGCTCTCTGGATAGCACGTTTGATCTCAAGGATGGGGCCTGGCAGAGGGAGCCACCCAACCTCGCTCAGCTGTCCCTGATGCTCAGGGTGTTCTAGTTAGCCTCTCACCGTGGAGTCTGCCCAGAAAAAAGATGCTGCAAGGCACAGCTGATTGATCTGCGGGTACTTTTGCCCATGGGTGTGTGTGCATCTTTGCTGCCTTCTGTGAAAGATGCGGAAGTGTAATGTGTGCCTCCAGGAGCTCACGGTCCTGTGGGGATGGGGCCCATGAGTAGCAGCAGGCGACACGAGTACGTGCAGCGAACGGCTCGGTGCACAGCCTAGGTTGTGGCTTTGTAGACGCGCGGGGAGGAGGAAATCTGTGAAGTTCAAGAGCGGCTTGGAATGACCTCGCTGACCCTTGGCTAGACTTCGAGAGAGAAGGGTATGGTGGCGGAGTAGAGGGCAGACGTGCGCACCTGGCAGGACCTCGGGTGGCAGCGAGAGGCCGGGACAGGATGAGGCCAGCCTGATTGAGTGCAGTATTCTTTTTTTTTTTTTTTTTTTTTTTTGAGACGGAGTCTCGCTCTGTCGCCCAGACTGGAGTGCAGTGGTGCGATCTCCACTCACCGCAAGCTCCGCCTTCCCGGGTTCCCGCCATTCTCCTGCCTCAGCCTCCCGAGTAGCTGGGACTACAGGCGCCCGCCACCGCGCCCGGCTAATTTTTGTATTTTTAGTAGAGACGGGGTTTCACCGTGTTAGTCAGGATGGTCTCGATCTCCTGACCTCGTGATCCGCCCATCTCGGCCTCCCAAAGTGCTGGGATTACAGGCGTGAGCCACCGCGCCCGGCCTGAGTGCAGTATTCTTAACACTGGAGCAGAGAAGACAGCCGTTCTAAACCAGCTCCCCAAATTTTAACCCAGCTAAAATTTTCATCAGCCTAGCCCCTCCACAGACCTCCCCCTCATCTGTCAGAGGACAGATGGACTACAGCCAGTAAGGAACTTTAGGGGCACTGAAGTTTTTTATTTATTTTTATTTTTATTTTTTTTTGAGACAGAGTCTCGCTTAGTCGCCCAGGCTGGAGTGCAATGGCGCGATCTCGGCTCACTGCAAGCTCCTCCTCCCGGGTTCACGCCATTCTCCTGCCTCAGCCTCCCGAGTAGCTGGGACTACAGGCGCCCGCCGCCTCGCCCGGCTAATTTTTTGCATTTTTAGTAGAGACGGGGTTTCACCGTGTTAGCCAGGATGGTCTCGATCTCCTGACCTCGTGATCCGCCCGCCTCGGCCTCCCAAAGTGCTGGGATTACAGGCGTGAGCCACCGCGCCCGGCCAGGGGCACTGAAGTTTTAGCCTGTTTTTTATCCAAGTTGCCGAGTGTCTCAGAAGTCTAACTGAAGAGTCTCAGAGAACAAAGAATAAGCTGGGGAGGTTGTGGCATGAGGAAGTAACCGAGGCCTTGTGCTGGGCCCCAACTCATCACGCCCTTTGTCCTCACAACAACCCCATTAGGTAACTCTTTTTATTATTGTAGTCAGAAGTCAGGAAGCTGAGTTCAGAGAACTTACATATTGTTTGTCCAAGTTGACACAACTAGTAGTAGCTCGCTTGCACCAAATGACACCTAAGATTCATTCCAGGGCAGAGATTCAGGGATTGTGACTCTAGGCCCGCTGCCAACTCCATACTAGTAAATTAAGAATCATATTTGAAGATGTCCCCGTGTTTTACTTGTGGTGGTATTTGTTCTGTCTTCAGCTCTTTCTCGAGGATGCCGTCTGCTCAAACACAGAGCTGCGCTTTTTTTTTGCGAAGCATTAGCTCATTTGTGATCGCTGCCAGCTCTTAAGACAAGGACTCTAAATTAGTGTCAGGCCTTCCCTGTCATCTTGAGAAGACACACGCACCACTTCCACAGGTGGTGTGTGCAGAGTGGCCCTCATCAGTGACGAGCCTGAGACTGTCTCCATGCCTGCCTCTGTTACACCCCAGTCTGTTTCCACAGAGCAACTGGAGGGATTTTAAAAGGTGTGACTTGGATCTCACCAATGTCCTAGCCAGTGCCGTGCAGACAGAGCCCACAACTTTGTCCCAGGTGGAGAGAGCATTGCGTGTCCGCCCCAGCCTCTGCCGTCAGCTGCCCCCAGTGTGCTGCTCTCTTTGCTCCAGTGTCTTTCCATCCCATAAGCGTAATGAAGCCACTGCTCCTTAGGACGTGGCTCTGCTGTGTCCTCTCCTGGAGTACACCCCCTGGTCTCCACAGAGTGAGCTGCACGTGGCCCACATCTCCATGTGGCGCTCCTCAGAGAGGGGTCTGGCTCTTTTGAAAGAGGGCAGCTGCCCAGGCACCGGTGCGCCCGTGTGATTCTCCATGCAGGGCTCGCACTGTGTCATCTTACCCATGCGTCTCGGGAGAACAAGTCTGCCTGCCTGGGGCTCTCGGTGTTCAGATCAGTGGCTGTCATACAGTGGCACTCAGGCCTGGGTGAGTGAATGAATGGACGGCCCACTTGACCTTGGGTTTGCCCTGTGGCCATCTGTTTTCTCCATTTCCCTTTTCCAGTCACTCCCGTATTCAGTTATCAGGATCCTTAATTTGGACCATTGAGAATCAAGTCACTTGACTGAATCACCCACAATTCGTAGCTAATTTTTAAAAACATAGCAAGGCTGGGTTTACCACTGAGGCAGGCATGGTAGTGTCGTGGTAGTGCAGGCTCTGGCACCAGCATCCTGGACCACATCCGCCTCTGCGGTTCACTGACTGGGGGACACGCTGGGCAGGTCGCTCGGCCTTCTGTGCCTCACTGAGGAAGAGGTGGATACTAATGGCACCTGTGTCACCGGCTTGTTTGAGGATTAAATGAGTTGATAGATGGAAAGCAGTTAAAGTAGTGTCTGGCACTTGGCAAATGTTAACATTAAAATTAGCTTCTTTTTTTTTTTAAATAAGCAAAAAGTGCCATCGTCTTGAGTTTGGGAAGGGATATGGGGAGATGCGCATGATTTGTGCCACCTCATTTAATATCTCCACCTATGAAGTGGGTACTGTGTTCATCTCCATGGGAGGAGACATGTTCCAAAAGACAGATGAGTTCACACGGCTGCTGAGCAGTTGAGACGGTGTTGGAACTGAGATCACGCTTAGCGCTCACGTTCCTCGCGTCGTCTGTACTGCCTTCCTAGAGAACACAGGTTGCTGGAACTTTCTGATTAGCCTTGGAGGTCTTGTTTCTGAAGTGTAAACCTCCTTTCTTTATTAGTTGAGGATACCAGAGCAGGGTTCAAGGAGGATTCGGTTGAGTTCAATTGAATTAGAGTTGAAGATCTGGGATTCCACTTTTGCAAAAACAAGCAAATTGATGTAGGAAAAAAATAGAAGGAAGAAATGAAAGCCATGATAGCATTTTAGTTTTCTGATACTGTAAGAAGCAATGCTCTTGGTTACAAGTAATAGAAACCCAGTGCAGATTACAGTTGCAGCCTTAGCTTTACAGCTTCCGGCCAGATAGCAGTCCTCAGGGAAGGGCTGCCCCTTCCCTCACCTCCCTCAGCATCCCCATAACATCTCCAGCGAGCCTGCCTTTAGCCACATGCCAGTCCCCAGAGCACCCTGTCCTGGGTGGGGTGGAGGGAGTGAGTCGCTGAGTGGCCTGGGTCATGTGTGACTGGTGGTGGAAGCTCAGGCCACGTGGTTGCCAACCCCTGTCAGAGTCTCATGGAGGAGGGAAGGGTATTTCTTAAAGAATGAGATACAAAACAGACCAAAACAAGTAGCACATGATCCAAGCACTCGTACATCTTATCTTATCCTAATTATTGGTAGCCAACATGTACAAAAGCTGAGTGGCTTATTCAGATGGAAAAGGAAGTTGTGGCCAAGCTCCAGGCGACAACCCATGGCTCCACCCCCCTGGTGGAGAAACAGGCTGTAAGATTGGCGGGCGTTTGGCCGTCAGGGTCAGGTGTCACCACTGTAGAGTCTCTGCATCCTGACCAAGTGCCAGTAGCCAGTGAATCGTTCTGAGAAAGTATACTAGGCATTATGAAAAGTATTTAAAATCTGTGTCTTCCTAATAGATTTATTCAGCATTGGATAGGGAGTGCAGGTAAAACAAGTCAGTTTCTCTGAAGGAAAAGAAGAAAGAATCAGATCATCAGGGAAAAGGAAAGAGAAGAATGCCATCTTACCCTTATTTTCTTTGACATTTAGGTCCTCTTGTAGCTTTGAGATCAGGGAAGCTCATTTGTCTAAGAAGCAGTCTCTACAAATGAGGAAAGTGAAATGAGATTACTTCTGTTTCAGCAGTTTTTATAGTAGGGTTTATCACTTGAGATTCAAAAGTCTTCGCTCTTTAAGTGAGAGTAAAAAAATGACTCTGTGGGTTAGTTCCATTACCAAAGTCATGGGGAAATTCAAGTCCAGTGTTGTTCAGATTTTTCTGACCACACTCCCCATGGGGATACACATTACATTGAGACCCAGACACAGCTGCAAGTTCCAAGAAGTAATGTTTTATTCTCATCGCGCCACAGTACACTCTAGTTTCGTTTCGTTTCATTTCGTTTCCTTTCGTTTCTGTTCTGTTCTGTTCTGTTCTATTCTATTCTATTCTATTCTATTCTATTCTATTCTGTTCCATCCTACTTATAGTCCATTGCAGTATTTTTTGTTTTCTAATGTCCTTTCCTGCTGATCCTGACCCTCTGAGGGGACTGGGAGGGGGTGAGGGATAGGGTGCAGGAGGGGGAGCAGCAGAGATGGGCCTGTCAGAGCCGATGCCTAGCGATGCCACACCCCTGCAGCCTCCACGCCTCCACCCCTGCAGCCTGCACCCCGTACTTGTATTCATTCTTGCTTTCCCCAGCAATGCTACTCCCAGCGTTTCATGTGACCACATCTTTGTTCCTCACACACTGCCACTTTGTTTGCTGGCCCTGCCACACAGGCCTCACATCTTCGCTCTGGGCACTGATTGGGTGATGGCTCAATGGCCTTCACATTCCCAAAGGAAAAGACCCCGTTCAGGCCAGGGGAGAGGAGGGCTAGAATCAAAGTTTACTGGGAGAAACTGGCTTCCCAGTAAACCAGAAAGCTGGGCCCAGGGAAGGCTGGGTGGCTTGATGGCCTCCTGAGGCTGGAGGAGATGGAAAGGAGTGGCTGAGACCAGGGAGGCACGTTCAGGATCGGTGCCTGGCTCATCACCTCTGTCCCTGCCTCTTGCTGTCCACAGGTAAATTCTACTGTAAGCCACACTACTGCTATCGACTCTCTGGCTACGCACAAAGGAAGAGACCAGCGGTGGCTCCCCTGTCTGGAAAGGTAATGGTGACCGTCCTGTAAGTGGGGGAGAAGCAGTGGGTGTTGCAGCAGTGTGGCTATGGGCCAAGGGCGGCCAACGTGCAAAGACCCCTGCGGCCTTGCCTCTCCTGGGAGTGGGGAGGGCCCGAGACGCAGTGGCACCCCAGGTGGGGAGGGAACCAGCTGTTCATGGATGATCTGAGGTTGCCTCGCTAAGGTGAAGGCTCCACCTGCCGCCTGAGTGGGACCCAGGAGATGATGCAGCTCTCCGTCTCAGCTGCGTAGACATCTGCCTTTGTCAACACACATCTTTCTGAGAGGACACCCTGCCACTGGGGTGATGCCCACTCATGTTCCACATGATTAAAGCCTCCCCCAGAAGGGCAGAGTGGGAGAGAGACTCTGTCCGGAGGATCCCTCTGCTCCTCGGTGACCCCACCCTCACTCCCCACAGCCAGAGGGCGCCATGCCTACGGGGCCTTTCACTCATTCTGTGAGTTATTTGAGAACTTTTTCCTTTCTTATGCTCTCTTTAATGAGGGTGGCTTCTCCACCTCTCTCTGCCAAGGTGAACCCAGCAATCTCTTCAGCATGGCTGCCACCTTGTCAGCACGCCTGCCTGTCTGTCCCCCTTGAGGGCTTCTGTTGCCCGCAGAGGGACTTGCAGGAAGAGGTGCACCTGGGTGGAACTAGACGTTGATTCCTGGTGACTCAGGAGGCTGAGATGGGAGGATTGCCTGAGCCCAGGAGGTCGGGGCTGCAGTGAGCTATGATGACGCCACTGCACTCCAGCCTGGGCGACAGCAAGGCCTTGTCTCTTAAAAATAAATAAACAAAATTTAAAACCAGCCTGTCAGATTGTCAGTGCCTCTGGGGCTTTGAGGATTTGAGTGCATCAGTCAGAGCCACTCTTGTTTTTCTCATGAACTTTCCTAGGAGGCCAAAGGACCCCTGCAGGATGGCCCCACCACAGACGCAAACGGACGGGCCAACGCCGTGGCCGGCTCGACTGAGAGAACCCCAGGTAGCCTCACTTCCTTGTTTGGCTGGGTGGCGCGTCACTCCCTCGGCCTCTGTGACAAGGCCAAGGGCATGAGCCAGCACCTCCAAAGCAACATTTCTTCATTCGGGCATCAAGTGGCCCAAAACCCTCTGGACTCCTTTTTCATGTGCCAGCTGCTTGCGTTCGGAGTCCCCTTTCTCTATGGCCTGTCGGAGGTGCTGGTGCAAATCGGAGGGGAGTTCCGCTGGCAGGCTGTGGCCCAGTGAGGGGGCCATCCGGTGGGCGGCAGAGCCGTGAAGTGCGATCCCTCAGCCCCGTCCCGCAGCATCACACATGAGGGCGGCCCTGGTCCTGTGTGGGTAGACAGGAGCTTGCAGGCACTCAGACACTGCTCCCATTACCACTCCTGATGAGGCCAAGGCCACTCGGCCCCTCATGCAGTTTGCTTCCAAGCTCCTCTGACGGCCTGGAGCTGCGTTGATTAAGCCCCGTGGTCTGGCTTTGCATTCACCTTCACTTAAGATTCTGCGTCCTGTTCCGTGTCACTGTGTCTGGATGAGCTGTGGCTGCTCTCCTGTCTGCCCTGCACCGTGATGGGGCATGCCCTGTCCTGACCCCGTGGCCACTGGGCTTCTCATGAGGTCCCAGCCCTCACCTGTCCCACTTTCATGACCACTTCCTTGTGTTGGGAGGTGAACAAAACCATCTCTACCTCTAAAAACACATTTATTCTTGTCATAGCATGGCAGGACTTGCCGGGTTTGTGGGTACAAGGCCTGTTGGGAAGAATTATGTAGGTTTTTTCCTTAAAATGGCCTCTCTCGGCTCCATGTAAAATTTGCCTGACATGCGTCCGCAGCTCCACAAACTGCTGGGTGTTCTGAGTGTCCCACGTGCAGCTCCAGGCGGTTCACAGCCCAGGGTCACTGGAGTAAGAGGGGGCCAGCAGGGCTGTGTTTCTGTCTGTCACACTTTCCTCTTGTTCAAAACACATGTATCTCAAGCAGCTATGTACAAAACTCGTAAAAATGGAAGATGGTCAGCCAATGCCAGGAACTGTGGAGGAGTTGGTCATAGAATTCCTGTGGTGGGACAAGAGAATTACCCATTTGGCCCTCACTGAGAGGTTCCAGAGATGCTTCCTTTCCCTTCCCTAAGAGCTGGTTCATGTAGGCCTTGTGGTGCTCATTCTGGGAGAGGGAGAAGTGCCCAGAGGCCAGGCGGCACACCCTGGGAGCACTGAACTGGAGGCCGAGACCCAGCAAACCCCCGCCAAGCCGGGTGAACTCAGCTTCTGCTACTGAACGTGCCCTTGTTATAATCTGAGCAAATTGTTTAAGTGCCCTGCAGGTGGGACCAACATTTTAGAGCCATGTTTCAACCATTAATGACATTTAAACCTTCTGCAGTCTTGAAGATCTTTATAATCTGTCTTAAGTACCAACAGGCCTTTGCAGCTGACACTCTCAGAGCACGGGCAGAATCACTGGTAGAGGAAAATAACCAACGGGGTCTAGGCAGAGACTTCGGCTTATGCTATAGAATATACATTCGTTTGGGGAGAGCGCCACCTTGTTAGTCTGGGCCCTGTTTCAGCAGAGATGGATTTTCTGAGGAACCCGACTACTCAGTAGAACAACTCAAAAGAGATTAAACTTTCCATTTGGGTTTGGAGTACAGAACATTCTTTAAAAAGAATGAAACACAACGAAGTTTAGGTTATTTCTGAATGAAGCCAGGTTTGCTGACTTTCCCATCTGGTTCAGGTTGCCATTCTTGCCATCTAATTGAAAGTATAATGGGTTTCAGGTTTTGGGGAGTTCTAAAGAATTAAGGGTTCCACAGAGAAGAAGAATGTTCTATGTAGTGGGGAGAGAGGGTGAGAGCTGGCAGTGTGGTTAAAGGACAAAACCTCCAAGAAAGAGTCAGAGCCCTGAGGACGTCTCGGTCCACGTGGCTTTCGATCCTGAGCCAGAAGGTGACTTGGTATAGCACGGGAGTTCACAATGTGGTGTCCCGAAGGAATCACAGTGTGGACCCATACAGTTAATGACAGGCACTGTCCCCCAGCTTAGGCGGCAAAGGTCAGTGAAGCTCAGGGCTGAGGGGCTCACCCTCCAGCAGCTCAGAGTCCGGAGCACCTTCCTGGTGAGCTCCCTCTGCTGCTAGCCTCGGTCGGAAAGGAACAGGATTATGGGCGGTATTTTATGGCTGGCGTGAAATAGATACCTTTTTCTCCTTTGATAGAGATTTCCTTCTTTAAATATGAAACTGAAGCTTTGATGACTTAACTAGACTTCCTTTTGAAAAATTTCAGAAAAGCTCAGGTGTGGCTGGGCGCGGTGGTTCACGCCTGTAATCCCAGCACTTTGGGAGGCCGAGGCGGGTGGATCACGAGGTCAGGAGATTGAGACCATCCTGGCCAACATGGTGAAACCCCATCTCTACTAAAAATACAAAAAAATCAGCTGGCGTGATGACATGCACCTGTAGTCCCAGCCTTTCAGGAGGCTGAGGCAGGAGAATCTCTTGAACCAGGGAGGCAGAGGTTGCAGTGAGCCAAGATCGCACCATTGCACTCCAGCCTGACAATAGAGCTAGACTCCATCTAAAAAAAGAAAAAAGAAAAGGGAAAGCTGAGGTATTTCAGGGCCCCAGAATGTATGTGGTAGAGACTAGTCATTAGCGTAGACCCATGGTAGCCACCTCCGCTGTGTGCTCGACCGGAAGAGGCCATGATGAAGGCCTCGATTCTCTTGTGTGTAACTCAACCATCCTCCGTAGACCTACGTCCCCAGGAGGCAGGGCTGGTAAAGCTATGACTGGGCAGTGTTTGACCCAGCTGTGCTTTTACTCTGTGCCTCCTCTTTATATTGTGGCATTTCTTCTCCTTTATGTTCTTTTTCTTTCTATGCCAAAATTCTTGCTATTGCCAAAACAAAAACAAAACAACACACCCGTACCCAGTTAAACCCACAGTTCAAAGAACCCACACTAGGTCGGCTTTAAAGTGTTGTCTTTCTCTGGTAACCAAATCTGTACCTGCTGCCTAATTTAGTGTTTGGGGGCATTGTTTACAGTATTTTTGTTTGTAATGTGCTTTTAATATAGAAATTCTCTTTTTTGTTCTTAAATCTATAAATGCTCTGTTTCCAAGCTTATACTTACTACTGCATATTAGTGGTCCTGGCACAGATTTTCTTACCCTGGCCTCGTACTATCCACCATGACTTTAGAAAAAGTTTGAACAACAATAGGCAGAGAAAGGAAATCCCCAAATGGGATTATTTCCTCCTGGGACATAAGAAGTTTAGTTGCAGGTTTCTTGAATTCGTTTTTGTCCAGAGGAATCTTCTTTTTATCTGATATGGTCGATAACCAAAAATGAAGCAGGGCAGCCGAAGGCATAGCCGGAAGGGAACAGAAGACCTTTTTCTGCCGAGTGCTCATCACCGGGTTCATTGGCAGTGCCGGCCAGAGATGGAAGGGGAGAAACACGTTAGTTTCCTCTCATCTTACGAAAAAGATGATCTGGAGTTAAGAAATGAAGGTCACAAGTGGCAGTTGCCTGACCCCTGTCCCCAGACACTCCTTTCCTGATAACCTTGAGGTTCCATAGTTCAGATCCTGAATGGGCTTTTAGGAAGTACAGGCCTTTCCCACACCAGCTAGAAGGGTAGCCAGGCAGTAGAATTTCATTCAACCCTAGGGTTCCCACCTGACAGAGGGAAGTTAGGAAGTCTTACTGCTTCCCAGGTCCTCTTCCCTTCTAGGCATTTATGGAAAACCTTTTAGTAGAGCAAGGGAATTCTGCAATCCAGCTTACCTCCCGCCTGACCCCAAGAGCCACAGTTGACAGTGATGTGTGAGTGTGTTTAGGTACACGTTTATATGTATATAGATATAATTGCACATAAATGGGTAGATATTTATTTATATATTGCACCCTAAATTACAGTAATAATAATAATTGTGAAGCTGTTTCCAAAGCTTCTTGTTCTGGTTCTGAGAACCACGGGAGCCTCACACTGGGGAGCAGTACCCAGGTCAGGGCTTTGAGGACACACAGCAGCCTAAGGGCAGCATGCCTGTAAGGAAATGAGTGGGTGGGTATCTCAGAAAAGCAGCAGCACACACCCCCAAGAAATGGCCCCAAGAGCAAACTAGGACAGCAGGGGCTGCTGCCGCCGGGGCACCACAGAGAGCCGGGCACCCGCCTCACGCGTCTTCTGTCTGGCTTGCACACTGGCTCCACTGAGTTAGCTGTGTGAGCTCACTCCTGTCTTTTGATGGTTAGTGCATCTTCAACTCTTTTCTGCAGGACACTGGAAGATTCTTAGGCCGTCCCAAAAGGGGTTCCACCATAGCCTTGAAGGTCTGAGCAGGGCACCAAGGGATTCACTTTTCTCCCGAGGCATTCAGCTTGGGGTGCATGCGGGAGGGGCGGACAGCCAGCCGGCTTCCCGGCGGCAGTACGAGAGCCCAACAGGAGAGGATTAGCTGTGCCAAGGAACACTCCGCTGCTGCCTGTCTACTGCCCGCCTTCTCTCAACCTTTATTTTTGCCCGTGTTTTTAACCTGTGCTCTTGTGAGTTCTTGGTGTGTTTCTTTGTGAGTTTTTATTTAATTGTGTAACTTTGTTTTTGCCGTTTACTGTGAAACCAAGGTGTCGTGCTTTTATTTATTTATTTTTTTTAACAAATGTTACATTCTTATTTAAGAGAATAAATTCCAAACAATCTTTGGGTTTCTGAGTTTTTCTTTTCCTTCCCTTTCTCTTGGCCAGAGGGTGGGAAAGGGGGAAGCTCAGGCAGGTCTTGGGGGTGGGCTTGTGGCCGCTGTGGCTCAGGACTCCCACTCCGGGGGTCAGCAAGACAGCAAGGTGCAAAGTGGGGAAATAGGTTTTTATACCTGACATAGGTTCCCGTTAACAAAGGACTCCTGTGTAGGGGCTGGAGTGGTGCAAAGTTTTGCTTTGCAGCAGCTGCAAGTGGAGAAAAGCAAGACGGATGCTGCTTGTG